ATTGAACTCCCAAAATTCGTTACATACTGGCCAGAAAGCTGTAGATTTCTTTTCTTTTCCTCTAACTGTGCTTTAAAATAGACTCAATCTTTATTTTTTGGAGTAATAAATATTCCCTCCAAACGACAGAAATGGTCACTACCTTAGGACACAAGAAGTATACAAGAGAGAAAAAAGGGAGGCTTTTCTTTTAATTTTGGATTTTTTATGTTTATCTTAGCAATTAGTATTTATATTCTTCCTTAGAAGTACTTTCAGGTTCTTCCAGTGTATATCTCACATATACACTGGGAAGCATCCACTACATTAGCGAAAAAAGGGCCACATTAAGATATCAATACAGCAGCATAGTAAAAATATTCATGGTGCATATGTGATAGGATGACAAGCATATTAGCTTGAGGATAGTCATCAATATTTGTCAAATTTGAAAAATTTATTAGATATAAAAAAAATTCAGTACATGCAGTTTCTCAGTCAGCCATGCCTCTTCTTGATAGGCATAAACCAGTAAGCAGTATCAACTTCTCTTTCAAATCAAGTTGTCAAACAAGCAAACTAAAGTATAATGTGATTTTTTATAATACACGATCATAATGTCACAATTCATGCTGTGTATAGACTAAATTGTTGATATGCTCTTTGCTTTACTGAGTTCATAGCATATCCAAAGGTGGTCAGTAATTTAGGCGGAACTATCCTAATAAACTCTCGGCCATATAGCCAAGGTTACACAATCCAAACTTCAGCAATGACGACAATGCAGCTCTTCTTTACACCGATTACTTTGAGAAAACAAATAGCATTTCAAGCCAGAAAGCCATCTATTCACTAGACTGTCTAAAGCCCAACTATCTCATAAGTTTACTTACACTAAGTTTACAAAGAAAACAGCTAATTTCAATAAACCTACTCAAGAAAATGAACTTGAATGTTGTACATATCTTAATTTTCGTTTACCACTATAAAATACCAGAAATTTCCAAAATTTTCACTGCCACAAACTATAATCAAACAGTTCCAGTCTCATGTTAGCTCACCACAGCAACGAATTAATCCCCGTTTCAGCTAACTAAGAGCAGAATCAAGTCACATTGAAACAAAGATCAATGCATTCAACCCGGATTAAAGAATAGAATTTAAAAGGCAACAATTTTAAAAAAAATTTAAATGAATAGCAAATAAATTCTAAAACTTGGAGACCAAGAAAATAAGAAAAAGCTACCATTGCAGACGAAAAATCTGATTAGATTCAGATCCCAGGCAGAGCTCCGAAAACCCTAGATTCCCTCAGCAACAGCCACCACCCAATGCCGACGAAACCATGGATTCTTCTCTCCGGAGCGAACCGTACGCACAAAGATCCAAAAAATTGTGCCTAATTGCTCAAACTTGGAATTGCAGCAGCACGCACGTAAAATAATGGCAATGTCGCTCCGGTACCTCTGGCTCTGACTGTACGGACTTTGTGCCACAAAACTGTAGGTGGGTTTGGATGTTTTGAGACAATGGACGAGGTCACATGGGAAATGTTGTTGCAGAGGTACAATGCCAATGGCGGACCTTTTATCCTTCCTGAACGAGAAAGAAGAAGATCCTCTGCAACTATTTTCCCTCTTATTTTCTCGCGCTTTCCTTCTCTTTCTTGCACTTTCTCTCTCGCCGTTGGCCCTCTCTCTCTCTCTCTCTCTCGCTCGCTCGCTCGCTCTCGGCCTCTGTTTGGCTTCTGTCTGTCAAAAGCGTAAACAACACGAACGCGTAACTCAACAGAAAATTTGAAATTACAATATTGCCCTGGTTTTCCAATTATTTCCTCTTGGTGCCCGCTCCAACCCTTGCTAAGGTTTATCCATATGCGTATATATTTTTCAAAAATACTTCATAATTATATGGAATGTAAAACGTATTATTTGCATATTATAACTGCATATTTTTCATGAAAAATGATTTTTTTATAATATTTTCAGGTTTATTTGCATATTTTTCCATACTATTAGAAACAAACTAAAATTCTCCAAACAAAAATTTATAAAAATTTAAAAAACATCATTTTATATTAATATATTGGACGATTTTTACTTTTCTTTTTAATTGTTAAAAAATATATGTACGTATTATACCCTTTGGTATTTACTAAGTATGGTTTATTTACGAATTTTCTTTTTTTCTATGTAATCTGATTCAATTGTCACTTGGGTTTTATGGCCTATAGGTTAAAAAGATGCAATTGCAGTGTAGGAGTTGGTATGGCTCGCAATAACTCAACTCCGTCTAATATTTCACAAAGGTTTAATCTTAAAACATATGACATACACATTACACTTTTAATTATATAGTTTGGTCCATTTTTCACCACACGTCTTTTTGTGTCTATATCGGAGTCAAACATTCAAGCCTAACATGTAAACACCACGTATTGGATAAGGATAAAAGTAAACATTTAAGCCCAATATGTGAACACCACATATTAGGTAAGGGGTAATGGGTAAGGGGCTCAATATTTGCATGCCCAGTCAATCAACCCACTCTAGTACCATGTTGAGTTTCATAAAGACGAGCCATCGATCCATCTACGAGAACACTAATATGGTCCCCAACTTAACCACCTACAAAGTTCAGTAGGTGTGGAGTTTTATCACAAAAGACATCGGTGTTATTAAGAGTGGTGTCATTCATTATATTGTATTTTATTTAGTCAAGTTTCCGATGTGAAACTTATATTCTTCAACATTTACACAAGCCCAAGAGATCATCACAAAGGCGCTAAATAAACATTATTTTAAAGTATTTATTTTTACACCCAAGATGAAGATGGCATTCCTTTACACTTATATTTCTTTTTCTATTTTGCAAGGGTTTAAATTGTTTTAAACTCAAGATGAAGATGGTTTGATGTCACATCTTTGAGAGTAACCAACAAAATTGTTTTTCTTTTTAATACATTTTGGAAACTATTTTCATTTTCTTCACAAAGAAAAGCAGTTCCAATTAAATTTAGAAAATTTTGTTTTTTTTTTTTTTTTTTTTTTTTTGGAAAATTTTAGAAAAAGCTTAAAGAAAGCAAAAAGCCAACCACACTTTTTTTACTTTCTTCTAAGTTTTTGAAAGAATAAACACTTTTGCTAACCAAAATTTGCTATTGCGTAAGAGAGAAGAGCTCATAAGTGCATATTTGGTAACCAACCAATTAAGTGAATGTAACTCAATCAGGTAATAATGGTCGCATAATTTCCCTTCAATTCAAGCTTTTATATCATTCGATAAAAATAAAGTAAAAAGTGAAATTTTACACCAAGACAATTACGAATTTACAAGAGTACAATGGCCTCGTGGTTATTATCTCGTAGTTCTCAGGGCAATTTTGTAACTAAACCAGCCATCTCCTTCCCACCGAATGGGGGACAACAACACGGCACAACTACTGACCGTTGGTGAGTTGATGTTGCGGCCCCCTCATCACCTGATACGGGCCTACCAAAATTCTTGATTCTTGAATCTGCAGTCACTTTTGACACGTCAATTTAATCGTAACGGGAATAGTAAATCAGTATTATTCTCGGCTAATAATGTTATATTACGTAAAAGTGTTATCACTAATCACTAATGTCATAGTGTTATTAATTGGAAATAACAAAATAGTGTTAACCACGTGACATAAAAGTCTTTCTCCTTCTATACGATATGTCGTCAGATGACCAACCGTTTCATGGTCGTTGGATCATTGCAAAGAAAGGCGTGAAGGAGTTGAGATGGGGCTTCGAGTTTGACCAACGTTGGGGTGAATTTGCATTGGGACTTGTCTAATGTGATGTGCACAAATGTGAGACTGAATTGAAAGGGACAGATAGTATAGTCCTGGGAGATACCAAATTCATTAATATACTTTGGATAGTTATGTAATTTTTCTTCTATTATTATTTGATATCCATTAATATACTAGTCTTGTTTGATGGATCTTGATGAGTTCTTTTAGAAATACAAAATTTACAATTAAAAAACAAATACGTTTAAATTATGTTGTGATACTTTAAAGTTGGGGATTATAATTGTGTTAATAGGTGTTCGTTGGTTTGAAACCAATAAAACTTCGCGAAACTGTATTTGATAAAGTATGGACTAGATCAAGAATTTTATCATCCAATTGAATTGGATTGGATCGATTTTAATGATAAAAAAAAGTAATTATTGAAAACTAAAAAAATTATGGTCAAATCTAATATGTATAATCACACATCTTAATAGATGTAAAATAAATGAAACAAAAATAAGTTATAAACAACAGTTTTGGACAAGCGGGCCTAGTACCAATTGGCCCAATGCAAATATTGTCTTTAACTAATAGACTGCATATGTGTGAGGTTTTATCAAAAAAATAATTAGTAGTGGAAACAAATTTTGTTGTACTTTTAAAGTATATGTTGCATTTTTGCCGAAACAAATTTTTATCAAGGACATTAAGGCAGCTGATTAAAAATAATAACAAAGTTAGTGCATGCAACTTTTAATAAAAATCATTTCTTTTTCCCCCTTTGCAGGGATAAACTTGGATATCAAACTTGACTGGGCTAAATTTATCTTACAAATAAACATATTAAGTATATAGAAAACTCGATAGTACGATGTAATTCATTGATAACAAAAAAAAATTAATAATACACCTCATCAAGGGGGGATGGGGGAGGACATAATGAGCCTTACCTCTCAAATAACACTATATAAGTTGCACCCTTCAAGTCTTCATAGAATTAAAATCATTAATTATCGATTAATTATCTACATTATTAGCAAATCTCTTTCAATGTGAAGTAACATACAATCAGTATAAAAAACTCATCACCTATCTTGTTTCAAAACTGATTTTTGATCAGTCTCATACAAGAAATGCTCGTTCTGTTGTTGCTATAGAAACATGACGAGTTAGCACCAAACAAATCAATTTGTCAATCAAGTAGTAGGTTTGTGCTAATCTTGTTTCCACTAAGCGCTAAAGTAATATAGAAATGGAATCAAGATTCTTGAAGGTTGGATTGTAATCCATATCAATCTTATAAAATCATGATTGTTGATTGAAAGCCCACAACTCAGTTGTAGTCAAAATCTTGAGGATAAAATTTATTAGCAAGAGTGTATATATCATCAATATTAAATTGCTTGAAAGCATCACAGGGAGGGGAATGGTGTGTTCAAGTTAAATATTGATGGCTCTCGCAAGGGTGGTATTGGTTGCATTGGTGTTGGTGGTATCATTCGTAATTCCCTTGGGGACTGGATGGGTGGTTTTGCTGTCAACTTGGGTATTGGTCAAACTATGGATGCTGAGCTCTAGGGGGGTTATTCTTTGACTTGAAGCTTGCTACGGCTAAAGGGGTGGCTAGGCTTTCTATTGAAATGGATTCTATGACTGTTGTTCAGCTTATCAAGCAACATGTTCCTAGTTGTCTTCATCCTTGTACTGGGGTGATTGCAAGTTGTGTTGCTTTGATGAGTAAGTTTGAGTTTGTTGAGCTTACTCATGTTTATAGGGAAAGGAATGCTGCTGCAGATTGTTTGGCTATTGAGTCTGAATATGGATTAGGGGTCTGCTATTTTGATGAAGCTCCAGTTTGGATTAGCTCTATTTTGATTGATGATTTGTTGGGGCCTGTGAAGCCTCGGATGATTAGTGTTGGCTAGGTTGGTTTTTTGTTTCTGGGGTTCCCCCCCCCCTTCTTCATTAAAAAAACAAAAAAAAAAAAAAAAAAAAAAAAAAAAAAAAAAAATCATCAATGGTAATGAACTAAGATGAAGTAAGAGGTTCCACAATTTCATATGAAAATCTAGTATATAACTCCCCAAATTGATAATCTATTACCTCATTAAATACATTTATATGATAATAATGCTCAATTGTGATACAATTTTTTCGTTGGCAAAAAGGCCCAGTGCCCATTGTATGACGGTCCCTTTGTTGCATGGAAAAGCAATGCTTCATGGTTTTAAACGCTCCCTTTTCAGTCTTGGGGTACATTTATTTGATTTTAGGGGCCGGGACATGCAATTCTCTTTCCAAATTACTCTACTACAAAGTATTAAAGACTTTCTCCAATAACGTACGAAATTATTGTGATGCACTATTCCCTACATTAATTATTAAGAGGGGATGCATGCAAGTTCAACTTAAAAAGATCAAAAGGACATTATACAATATCACAAAAAGGATTTTTCTACTTTTTGTCTGCTAAGTGTGGACTGACGATCTTTTACATATCACACTTTTTTCAAATTATTATGAGATTTTTATTTGTAGATAAAGGGCGAAGTCAGGAATTTGTTAATATGTAATACCAACTACTAACAAACTAAAAAAGAGAGTAAATGATTCGTTAGTGTAGTGGTTTGGAGTATTTACTCTCTCAAGTAAGGTCCTGAGTTCGAATCTTAGCATCCGTGTAGTATGTGTGAGTTTAGTATATTATCGCATTTTTTAATAAAAAAGGTCCTAAAAAATAAAATAAACCAAGAAAGAGAGAGAAACGTGTGTTAGACTCATAATTAATAAGGGATGGAGAGAATTGAAAAAGTTATTATTCATTTGAGTAGGTATCTTTAATTGGTGTGATGGAGTATCATATAATCAAGGACAATAATTAGGTTGATGATGTGGAGCTTCTGATAATCAAACGGACCAACCTAACCTAAGCCTAACAATGGAAGATGCTCCGTGGAAGTCCCACTACCATATAAAATCAAAATCAAAATGAAGATGCTTTGATGAGTAAGTTACTTCTTTCCATAGAATCCAGTTTACAAACTTGCAGTGGGCCCTCTACGGCTTGTGGGCTATTAAAGAATGGTCTTACGCATTTAAATATAATATGTTTCATTTCGAAAAAAATGTCACGTATGTTATAACATGTATTTGTTTATTAATTATAATACCCAAGTATAACTTCATCGTCCACTCATATTACGATAAGTGAATTAGTAATATCACATGTGGTGTCATGTTCCCAAACAACTTTTTTTTTTCTTCATTTTTTTTGATTTATTATTTATTTACCTTTGTCATACAACTAAAAAGATACAATCATAGGCCAACGTGGTATAGCACAATGAAAAATGATCTTGATTTGCAGATTAGTAATCTTTGAATTTTACGACACCTTCTGGCACATCGTGTGAGAACACGCCTCTCCCCCAATATCGCTTATATATAAATAAATAAAAAAGGAGTAGAGTCATAGAAAACGAACTTAGGGTCCCCTAGGACCATAGGAATGGGAAAATTCATGTCAGCCAAAATACTAGTCTTTCGATTCATTGAGTGGTGTTTGGATTTATTGGTGCTTCTTCTACCTACACATTATTGTTCTCAGAGACCACTACACTTTTCTCTTTTATTATTATTTTTCCTTACTTCCTATTTGTCTTCACCAAAGCCGAAAGCGAGACATACTTTTGGCTTCTTCAATTTATGTAGTTTTCTACTTTTACCTTTGTAATTTTATTTTGACATTCAGGTCCGTAGAGTTAGTTGACATTAACAATTAAGGACAAGCAAGATAATTAGTCCATGCAGCTCAGAGGTCATTTTCCATCTTTAGTATATTTACTGTGGGTGGGAGGATTTTTATTGAGCTCTGAATTCATAAACTAACAAACCCCACATTTAATTTCTGTCTGGAATTTCATCCTTGTTAGAGATCTCCAACCGATGTGTCAAACGTGCCATATAGACATTTAACAGCTAAAAATAACATCTCACATCACTCCAACCGAATGTCAAAGCTGATGTGGAATGAAGGCTGGAGGTTGAGATGTTATTTTTGACTCCCAAAAGCAAGATGTCAAATTTATTATTTTTATTTTTTTTTTTTCTTTTTTTTATTTTTTATTAATAAAAAATAACAAATACTAAAAAAATGATAGTAATAATAATTTAAATTTATTTTGGTGTGAGTTGGTTGAAGCTGTGTAAATGTCAAATTGCCCATTCCAGCCATCCAAATTTAAATTTGATGTTTGGTATTTGACATCTCCCTTGGAGATGATCTTAGTTGTATTATGTTGTTTGGTTAAAGAATGAAATCCAGTTAACTCGATATATATATATATATATATATTTATAAACTAACTAACCGTTACAACCCCACACACGAACATTACATGTATATTTGTCAAAGTAATTTACGAATGTTTGATTTATTTTAATTGCTAATGTAGTTAATTGTAGATGTGGGTTGGTTAGGTGACCATGATAGTGTGTCTGCCTCCTTACACTCGAGTTCGATCCCACTTTCTATAAATTAGAGTAGTTTAAACTATGATCTTGTCACAAGAAATGTTAACTAACCGTAAATGATCACAACATTGGAACTACAAATAACAAAAGAGAACCAAAAACCAATTTCCTTTTACTTCACACCTAACAAAACAACAATCTTCATACCTAACAAAACAAACAATAGGCCATGTCTTAAAAATTCATGTTAGAACACGTGTTTTGTTATTATATTACGTTCTAAAATATAAATACATTATCCACCCATTATTATGATATATAAAGTAGTAATATCATATGACAGTGTAACGATTCCATCTTTTCTTTTATTTTCATTTTTTCATGATTTGGTGAGTATAATTAATTTACTTTGTCATACAACTAAACATAAAGTCATGGAAAACGAACTTAGGGGTCCCCAGGGACATAGGCATGGGGAAATTCGTGTCAGCCAACTGATCTTTCAATTCATAAAGTAGTGACTGGATTTATTGGGGCTTTCCACCTACACATTATTGTCCTCAGTGCTGGCTACACTACACTACACGTACACTCTTCTCTTTTAAACAAATTCCCCAACTTCCTACTTATTTTCACTAAATTTTGTGTTTTAAAAAGATAATCATAATTTTGGACTCTGTATCTAGGTCATTTTCTACTTTTACATTTGTAATTAATTTTTGTTTTTGTTTCTAATCAAGTCCAGATAGTTGAACATTAACAACTAAGACATGATCACAAGATTAAAACACAAAGAGTAAGGAGAAAAATGACAAAATGGGACCAAAACCGTAGTTTTTCCCTTTACTTCATACCTAAAAGACCAACAATAAGCCATGGATTTGAAGAAGGAAAGGGATGGGGGGACAGAGAAGGGAGGAGAAGAGAGAAAATATACAGTTTTTCCTATAGAAAAATACATTAAAGTAAATGGGTATATATTTTTAACTTTTTATGGGTGTGTGTTGAGTAAAATGCTGGGTGTTAACGAAAGAGGGCTGTATATCCACCCTTCAACTTGCAGCCACTGAATCTACAGCCAATGTCCCCACTAGTACCCCCCCACTCACTATCTGATAGGAAGTTAGAATATAGACAGACACTGTCCCTGGATTTACCCTGGAAAACCCACTAGTTTACAAGGCTTACAAGCATATTATACATATACATGCCAATTTCTTGTTGCACATTTTTCTCTCTTCATAAATTGCAAACCACCAAACATCTCCACCTCCAAGTCAAAGAGGTCCTGTCAGTCAGGGAATCCAAAGACACACCAATGAATGTAGTTGCACAAATGGGGGTGTGAACATATACACATATGCCTGCATAAATCTTTTGCCTGGTTATAAAATTATAATAATAAAAACCCTCACAACTGCAATGGATTTTCATGCCTTTGGTGGTCTGCCAAGACTTCTTCTAGAAGTAGCTATAGGTAGGTCATCAACTGATGGTTAATTGGTACTCTTTGAATTGCCAAGGTGATTTGAGAGCTACCCAAAAGAAAAACCAATCAGGTGGATTATTTTTGAAAGAATTAAAATAATAATAATAATAATATAAGACTGCCCACATGTACATTTTGTGCCATCCCTACAGATACAGAACAAGTTTTGTGGAATAATATTTCAAATTCATGTTTAATTTTGAAACATTATTTTGGCCAGCAATGATTTGCTTGAGGAATATTGAGTGGAGTTCAGTCTAACTAGGTAAAGGAGGCTCTACTCCTAGGACAGCTAGAGTAATGCCATTGCAAAAAAAGTATTTATAGGACCCATTGGAAATTGGAATATTGGCTAATAATAGATAAGTGATAAGAATTTTAGAGCCAAATGATAGAGCAAAGTGTACAAGGATGCCCTGTGCTGTGAGTCTAAATGTAGACCCATTGCCATTGAAAGCAGCTGGCATGTATTGAATAATAATGATGATAGATTTGAATCTAGAAGTGACGTCTTGTAGCGCAAGAGATAAAGTGTATTTACTTATCCTAGATTCGATTATCCTCTCTCGTAATGTCCCGTGTATAAAAAAAATAAATAAATAAAAGCCACGCTCCCAAATAAGAAAATTGCATGTGACTTGGAATAATCCAATTATATTTGCATACAGATCATGGGTGTCCAATCTTTCTGTAAAAATATGTACAAATACAAGACTGTCTTCAGTCTTCTTCACGAGCCTCATTGATGCTTCCCTCAGTCATTATTAACATTGTGAGAGTTGCCAATGGGGCTTATAAAATAGACAACATATCTAACTCTTCATTAAGTGGAAGAGGAGCCTCTTCTGTTACCCCCTGTGGATAAAATTTATGTCACACAGGCCCTTCTTAGTGACCCCAAAAAGTAGCTTCTAGCTTGCAAGAAGAATTATAATTAAGGGTTTTTAAGATGGGGGGCTTTGCTAGCAAGAGGAGGAACAATTTAAGTGAGAAAGTAGATGTTGGTGGGTTGAGAGAAAAGATGAGGAATATTCAAGAGGAAATGAGTGGGATGGTGTGTGAGAGGAAGAAAGAGAGTGCAGCATATGAGAGGGACATGATGGTGTTTGCATTCAAGGAGGCTGAGTGGAAGCAAGAGAAGAAGAAGATGAGGGAGGAGGTGAAGATGTTGAGGAAGATGGTGGACGAGAAGGAGAAGAGAATTAGAGGGATTGAGGATGCAGGGGTAGTTTTGGGAGCTGGGAATAATAAGAGTGGTGGGGAGAAGGAGTGGGAAGTGTTGTTGGCTGAGCAAATGAGGGAGGAGAGAGCAAGAAGAGATGAGACTGTGGAGAAGTGGAAGCAGCTTTATCTGGCTATTAAGATGGAGCTTGATGAACTCATTCAGAGGACACATTGTGGTATGTAAATCTCTCTCCCTCTCCTCTCTCTCTCTCTCTCTCTCTCTCTCATGAAATTATGAATATGATGCAATTTTCATGTTTGAATTATATTTTGATGATGACCGACATCAGGATTTAGCAGTAGGTGCATGGTTCTCAATTTCTTTCTTCATCTGAAAGTGATTGATTTTTTCTGTTCTCATCACAAGCAAAAACGCATAAAAAGCAGAATTTCCCACATGTTCATTTTAACTGCAAGTATATTTAATAATTTGGAATTGATGAAAAATGGAATAGCTTGATTCCCATGTATAGTTAACCAGATCTAATCTTCATAGATAATGTTTTATCTTTCCAATCTTCCCACATGTTCATTTAAATTACATGTTCTTATAAATTCAAGCTCCCTCATATGACAAGCAATTTGGTCTGGTTGAATTTCAGTATGTTTAGTATGAACATATATATATATATATATAAAATATGTGTGTGTTGTGTGTATTGATATGATGGAGCAATGGCATTTACTGTAGAAAATGGGCTGTACTGGAGAGCAGAGGAGGAAGACACTGTGGAAGAGCTAAAGAGAGACATCAAAACCAAAGAAGAAATGATTGCAGGCCTAAAATCCAGAATAGTTTCTATGGAGCATGAACAATACAAGAAGGAACGAGAGATTGACATATTAAGGCAAAGCTTAAGAATCATGAGCAGCAAGAAGACACTGCAGGTCACTAAGAATGTTTCTCGAGATTCACAGCCTGTGAATGTGAAACAGGCTAGAAAATTGTAATATAATTTTATTATCACTACACTGACAGTTTAGTCACTACTGTGTATGAAGTATGATATCCAAAGCATGAGGTGCAATGGAACAAGTTAAAGATTTAAATAATTTGGCACAACTTGTACGTAATTACTTTTAGAGCTTATAGCTACAGTGATTTTGCTGAGAACATTTACCTCGTACTTGGGCGAAGTTCGAGGCTCCCCTCTTCCTTTGGCCTCGTTTGAATTATTGCTAAGAAGCTGCTAATACATGTGATGTATTGATCCTAATCGTTATTAACCAAGAAAAATACAAAGTCTTCCCAGAACCAGCCATAAGAGTAGGGGCAATCCAGCTGAGGGTACATAGATGGGCTACTACAACCTGGTGAAATTATACAATAATAGACGATGAATTCTATATGTGGGCTCCGCCTGAGGAGCGTCAGAGATGAATAATTTTTCAACAGGACCACAGCCTTAGTGGTGTCTTATCTTCTGTTTCTGACATGTGTGTGTCTTATCTCCCTTGTGCCTAAAACTACAGGCTCCCATGAAATAGTGATAACACTATTTTGCCATTTTTTATCAATAATACTAAGGCACGTGTGATAACACTTTCACGATTCTTTGATCACACAGTGGTTCTAATATAGTTGTATGATATGCTATGTTTTGAACATTATTTTTCATTGCGGAGCTACCACTGTTGAGATATGAGCCAATAATGTATATTAAGATAACCCCCTTCTTCTTCGCACATGCTCGCATGCACGTACATCTTGCATGCGTAGACGGCAAATAAAATGCGCATACATACCTCTTAAAAGCCACTCTCTGCCTATATTCTTAAACTCGCTTAAAGCTTTTAATACCAAGTGTAATGAATATAACTGATGATATATGTCTACAGGCTACAGCAAAGCTTCTGTCTGTCTCTGTTCTTGTATTTGTATCTTTATTTATGCGGAACCGCTGTTTTTGAGAAATTTCCTTCCCTCCTCTGCAATGTGGTGTCAATCCTGGCACTTGACCTTTTTTCATTCGAAAACTAAGCTTGGTATTGCAGTGTCAAACCAGAAAGGTGGTGTGTGCACATAAAAGGGAATGAGCTTTGTTTAAAGAGAGACGAGACGGAGACGGAGACAGAGAAATTGCGAGTGACATGACCAACATAAAAAAGTTAAAAGAAATCTAATGTAGACCATGGTTATGAAAATTGTTTGTGGGAATAGTCTTGTGATATTTGTAGAAAACTATACAAACTTTGAGTTACAAATGGCTGCTGATGTTGTTCCATTTCATAAAAATCCTGTATACAACGTACAATTTGGAGAAATATATGGCACCTGACTGATGGAGGTATGTTGCAGGCACAATGCCTAGAAGCATTGGCAATTACGAACGTTCAAAGGCATGTTTGAGTCCTGTTGGATGCCATCCTCAGCTAATTTTTATGTTTTTTTGTTCATCTGACACTGCCCTTGCTGCTGCAACTTGGTAATTCGATCTCACATTCTGGAAAGAAGAAAACAGGTTAACAACTTATAATGAGATAAGGAGATATTACAACAAATAGTAACTTACAACTCATGGAATTAACAACTTACAATGAGATGAGGAGACATTACAACTCATGGAAATAATGTAAAGGGAATTAAAATAGCCCCTACTTCCCTCAAATACCAAATTGAACCACCAAAATATGACAAATTAACAAATAACATCTATAAGTTCGACCCATGAATGTACCTCTAGCAATGTGATGTAGTAAAAATCCTCCATGTGCTGCATAAGTGCAGTCCCATCTCTAATTGAACTGAATATATTTATTTCAGTCTCTAATATTTTCTCATAAGTTCCATCTCACCCTTCATCTGTAGGACAAAATCACCCTTAGTCAAACTTCTGATAAAAAACGCAGAAAAGCTTCATCTGGAGACAAACTTTAACTCATTAAGAATGATTTTTTGAACAGTGGGAAGATTGTTAAAGAAAAACACACTGGAGCAGGCATTCAAAAGATATCTTAACATCAAATTGAATCCTACTTGACAAGGATGGTCTGTGAAAAGGAGACCTAAAAACTAGACGATTTAGATCATGACTCATGACAGCATCTTGTGGGATGGGTTACAATGTAATACATAATTGTCCTAAAATAAGGACATCTTTATTAGAGAATTATTACATATACTCCCAGTGAGATGAGATATAGCGAGGATGCAGTCAACATAGCAACTTTTTAAAATTGTTTTCATCAGTTTATCTGGAAGAAGAAAATCGTTATATGCAGCTGGGGCATTAGTCACATCATGAACATAACAAAGATAATTCATTTTAATTTCTTGGGATCTTATGACTGATTCTTTCCTGATCTTGTTTGGAATCTGGTTTTACAAATAGTAAAGCGGGACATAGCTTCAGTTTCAATTCTGCCTCATTGCACCCAACAGTGGTTGCATCCCAAGATATAAATGCTAGAGAAAGGCTCAAGAACTGATCAGACTTCGACTATAAATATGTTCTCTCTCTCTCTCTCTCTCCCTCCCTCTCTCTACTATATTAAAACATGTCAGCAGGCGTCGAAATTGAAAACACTGATATAGATATGTGGACATATGAATGTGATATTGGACATCCATAAGCAAACATACTACCAAAAGAAAAAGATTAAATGAGGCAAAACGTACAAATTCACTGATAAGCGCATCTGGTGTGTACTCCCCAATCACATCACCCTGGTAACCATCTCCAGAAAGCTCAATATTGTCCTGGATAGAGTCATTAGCTCAGCTTTAAGTAAAAATGTACTATATTTTGTATCAGTCTTTGTATTCATTCAGCAAGGATTTCAATGTGTTATAAATCACATAAATTGAACTTTGTCCAGCATTGCATCTGAAGTATTGAAGAGATATGGAATAGGAATTCAAATTGTTGATGCCTTGTGATAATTAATCAGTTCAGTCATGCAGCTTCGCAGGGAGTTTAGAGCATCCCCTGCCACGCATTTACTGGGGAAGGAACTTAAATGACTCTGAAGCATGTCAAACCTCAAAGAGAAAAGGATTTTTACCATGGAAAATGCCAATAAACCTGTACTTAAGAATACCTTAATTGGCGCAACTTTGTTACTGTACATATATACTGGGGGAAGACATTTTGGGTATAAGAGAAAGAAGAGTGCTTTCTGACCATAAAAAAGGACCCCAAAACAATTTCACACTGCTTTCACTTTAAGATGACAAGTAGACTTTGAATTGAAGCAAATAAAGACAATTCGGCCATTCTAAAATGTGATAATTATAAATATATATATATACACACATATATATGTATGTATATATATCTGCTACGCCAACAAGTTTTAGAGGATCATATCAATTATCTAGGAGGACAACATTTACACTGTCCATAAAATATAAATTTAAATAGCATATACCATGTCCATCTATCAAGAAATTAAAAAGCCTGAATTAGGTTTCACACAGTCAGAAGTTTAATTGGAGAATTGACAGTGAACTACCCACCAAGGCATTTCTTAGGTCTCCTGTTGCTAGGTAAACAGGTTGAGCTACATGACAGTAACCCATCAAGCGGGGGACTGTTGGTATAATGTCTCTGTGGTTTACAACTCTCCAGCTATCTTTGACTTTCTGCAGAGGTAAGTTTTGCATGTTGAATAAATATTCACCAAACAAATACGCATGTGACATCCAACATATAAACTTTCACATATTTAATAATTATTTCAACTTCATGAGGCAAATTTGAATATCACACTGGATCTGACTTCATCATACCTGTAAATTTAAGTCTAAAGAGTTCCATATTTACTATCATAAAACTCTAACATGTATATTTACATATATAATATACTGGTAAATATTTAGATAGATAGTGAGAGAACGAGTGAGTGGAGGAGTATTCTAATGAGTAAATTCCTTTATTGTAACACAATCCTAGATTTGAAAATTATTTTCTACAAGACTAACAAGATTAGCAACTACAGTGTAGACCAGAAATTAGCCTGTTGTAAAAAACAATGAATTGTTCCAACCAAGATGACTGCAGCAGAAACAATAATGAAGCCATAGAAAAGAAAGATGAGAGGGTAATCACCCAACGCTCAAATGAAGAATTAAAAGCCAAGCGATGGAAAACAACTAAAGAATTACTATTAAAAATCTTACCTCATTATAAACTTCGGCAAATTTTTTGTTACCGACCCTAGGAGATCCAAAGTTATACATGGTCACAGAAATCACTCCGCGCCTAATACACAGAGAAAATTCAATGTACAATATCAAAGCATTTGTTACAACCATAAGGATGATAGGTTTATGTTATGTTGCTAACATCTAAGGATATTCAAGTCATAAAGAAATATGTCAGGGTGGTTGTCTATCAAAGCATTTCTAGGTTTTATTTTTCTTTTGGTCAATAACTTCTACACTAAAAGGCTTCAAAGGTGAAATAGCATGGGTGAAAAGAAACACTATTTACAGTCATAAAGAGAAGATTGGATTAGTAGTACAAGTTAAAATTAAAGCCCAACATAACCTATGGTTAACGATTTGCCTGTGCACGAATACGCATTCTTTCACGTGCAAACTTACTATGATACGATAAAGAAGAATAATAACTTCACTGAGTAGAATATATGAACTCACTTTGCTAATTGACTTGATGAAAGTTCAAGAGCTAGGAGGGTAGATAATGCACCACCTAGACTATGACCAGTGACATAAACATGCCATTTGTGCAGCGGCTCAGCAAGATCGTCACTGTTACAGAAAACCACTTAATTTTTGCTTTGACAACTGAAAAATCAAATTCCATGATGCAAATGCAAAATGGACACCAAAAGGGGAGAACTCATACTTTGAAAATCGCAAAGAATAAATGGACATCAAAATAAATAAATAATTAACATCTGGTTTAGTCTAAAGGTTCCAAGATTTTATCGTTGAAAGGACTTCAGTACGCATATATAAAGGATGCAAGTTATGTTAGTGAACCACATGCCTAATGTATTTAACTGAAGCAAACTGATTCCGAAATATTCTTTTAGATAATACCCGTCCTCTGCTGCTTGACTTGTATATAATTAGGACAGTAGCTACATGCTCAGAAAATAAGATTAAAAGATTAAAAAAATCAAAACTTACATATAACCAATTGCCAATTTCATGAGAGAGATGATCCTGATCCTGACAGAATCATATGCACTTAAGAAACCACTGTGAACCTGAAATAACTTAATCACTGTCAATAAATACATAAAGATTGGATTTTGTCAATTATCTGTTTATCTCATCCATGAATGAATTGTTTTTGCTTACTTGAACTTCTTCCTTGAAGTCTCCACCTATCCTTTCAGGATTTAGCCTAAAGAGGTATAGAATCCAACATTACAAAGTATAATACTTAACTTAATGGGCATATCTGAAATTGTGGAATATTAACTTAGACAAATCAATCAACAACTATTGAGAAACTTAGTGCATATGAGATCGTTTAAAACCTCAACTGATTGGCAACCCAGATAAAGTGACTGGGTCAGGGGTCACCACTCCGACCGGCCGCAGTTGGACCACTTCTCATGCATAAATTAAACAAAATTGTCTTAAAGTTATTAATGTAATAGTTAAGTACAAGCTATCAGTAGCATAACAGCAAGTGTTGCTAGCCTCAACCTTTAATTCATTGTCTTCTACCCTTAAGATCTGTGGTTTGAATCCAAAATCAACTTTCAAACCATACTTTTCTGTCAGAGAATAATTATACTTGAAGGCTTTAATTGATTCATCAAACTTTGAATTATGACTCAACAGTAATGGCAGCTGCATTAACCAATGAGAGCGCCACCACAAAACAGTATACTTTGCATATTGTACATTAGAGATGATATTAAAACTCATTTGCTGTTTGAATCCAAAATCAGCTTCAAACCATACTTTTCTGTCAGAGAATAACTACCAAGTTTTCTTCAACCACAACTAGTTCAAAGGTTTGCCAGTCAAACCAATGTCGGACAGTCTAACTTCCAAGTGGGTTATTAAACATAAAATGGATCCTGTACTAATCCGGATGACTTCCTGTACTAATCCGAACTTGAAACCAGACCATTCAATGTTCCAACTGGCTGGTCCAGTCTGGACACTTATTACATGCATTATGACTCAAAGAAAATTAGGAAGAAAGATCACAAATCACTAATGTCGATCAAATACACAAGTTATAGCTCGATAAGTATAAAGATGTTACCCAGCAGGAGCTAGCATTAAATCTGTTCGCAAGTCCTTCCATCTTGCCTGCAAAAATTAGAGTAGAGGTATTTTGAGCTGGAAGATACATACCCAATCTCCATATTTGAACAAAAACAATATATAACCTACCTGTTCTGTTCCCCTGAAAGCGATAACTAATCTTTTCCGGGAAGAATCGCACCAAATTGCCACCTGCAGCTTCCTATAATTTAGTCATCCACAATATAATTCTCACAATTAATTGACAGCCTTTTGCCACATATAAGGTTTTATGATTACCCAGATTTTAGAGATGAACTATAACTAGATAAAGAAGCTCCTCGGTCCTCTCAAAAGATTAAAATCATACCTGCGTGTCTGTCGTCGCATTGTCTAAGAAACATAGTTTCTCAAATTCAGACTTTATAAAACTTGGATGCCCCATAGAAGTAGCAAGCATCGCCCACGCCTCCATGGCACTTTCTGCAGTAGAAAAGAGTTCTTTCATCTCCTCAGCTCCCTGGGAGCTAGCAAGCTTCTTGTTGATGGGATATGTCAAGGCATCATCTTCTACATTGCTAGTATCCTCTTCTTTAATTTTGCTCCTTCCAGAAAGATTTGCTTCCTTGTTTGATTGAGATACTGCTGCAGTTAGAACCATTAATGTTCCTAAAACAGAATCAGTTTGCCTTACTAGGTCCCTTGTCGCTTCCTTAATATCTGGAAGTGAAGACTGAATCATGCTAACAGAAAGTGGGCCACTTATTTTATCATTATCAACATCTACGCCTTCTGGAGTCGCAAGCCCTGAGTCAATATAAGATGCTTCTGCTATCTTTCGTGACTGCAAACCAACTTTTTTAATAAATCAAACCCATCCCACTTTAGTTTCTCTGGAATTGGGAGACCAAATTTCTCAACAACATTTTGATTAATTTCATTGGCAAAGTTCCTCCAAAAATTCTCATCTGATTGCCTTTCCTCACCAAGTTGTTTCAGGGGTTCAGGGGCATAACCATTCTCCCCACCACCATTATCTGCATTGGAATCATCTGAATTGCTCCCTTCTTTGAAGCTTGTATTATTTAAAGAACCTTCTGCTATACCCTCCATCTGGGAAGGCATGTCTGACACACCAGCAGAATTATTAGATTTCCTAGTGCCTTCTGTGTTATTCTCATCACTACTTGAAGTCAGATTCTTCAGAAGGTAGGCATTATTGAATGACTTTAATTGCCCAAAAGCATATTCCACAAATTCACGTGCTTGCACAGTGTCAGAGCCAGCAAACATTTTTAGAGCAGGCTCAAAACCAGTTTTACAGAGAAAGTCAGAAACAAAGGGGACCCTCCTCCACCACATTTTTCCCTCGTCAATTTCATCAAAACTTTTATAGTTGACCTGAAAGCTCAACACTAGCAGTTATAACTCAAACAGAACGCTACGTCAAAAGAGAAAATCAGTGTGAACATATATAATATTGCAGGGTCCAGTCCACAGACCATCACAGCAAATATAAACTAGATGCTTAAGATTAACAATAGAATTAAAGTATCAGTAATTGAAATAACAAAACTTCATACGAAAGAAGTTCCCAATTGAACCACACATAAACAATTTACGAAACCTTCATTACAAGCAGAGAACTATTAGCAGGTAAATAAAAAGGACCATACAGGCTATAGCATAAAAGAAAACAAGAAGATTAAGCATCAATTTAAGTCACTGAAAGAACAGACAACTTGTAAGCATCCCTCTGTATAAGGAGAATATAAAACACCCAAAATTCTGGTGATTTTTTATTTTTATTTTATAAATAATAAAATTTTCCTTTTTTTGTCTGAAAGGAAAAAGGCTACTCAAGGTTGCATTTCCTGAGAATCAAACGTTAAGAAAATGTATAAGGGAAAGGACACCCAAATGAAGGCATTCCAAGAAATAGAACAGTCTCATTCCTTCCCAGAAATCCTGCAACACATCTGAGATCTTTTGGCAAGAAAAAGACTTGAAGTGAACGGAACTTTCTCATGGTGACTTGTATTGGCATATACGCATACAAGATGAGCTATAGTAGGTTTATACAGAACACGTAGTAATTTTTTGTTATACATGAGATCCCAAATTGTAAGGTGTATTCTCACAACAACAGGAGACAATGCAACACTCTGGAACCATCTACCTATACCAAAATTACATTTCACCAGGAAAACGTACCTCTAGGTGTAACTTTCCACCACCTCCCATTCCTTCCAATTCCACCAGTACATCATGTGAATTTCCTAGAAAAATACACATATGTTAATCATTTTGAAAAGTAAAATTATACAGCCTCACTAACAATGATTGATTTGATTTTTACCATCACAAAGGCCTTCCAGACTGATGCCTGCATTCCCCATTCGTTTATGTGGAGTTACTAGGTTTGCATCCCAAGCTGCTACCTAAAAATTGATGCCAGATATTAGGAAATTAGAAGCTATGAAGCAACTTGAAAATAACACTAACAATAATTGGATAATTAACATCTCATTTTATAAAATTAGAAGTTAACATCTCTTCCCTCTGAAAGTATTCTTAGGCAATACAAGATCAATATGATTATTACAATAGCAAGAATAAGAACAACAATGCTGAATGCAGATAACTAAGTACAACATATGGTTCTTCATAGGCTGGGAAAACAGAAAGCTATAAATGACCAATTAATTCTTCAGAACGTTTTTTTTTTTCTCATTCTTAATCATGCTCATAAGGTCAGATGATAACAGGTCTGCATTCCGGGTAACAGGAAACTTTGGAGAACAGGATATGATTGACATCTTAAAAAGAGAGCTAACATGCCAAGAATGTAGCAGTACTTATAAAAGGAACTTAATCTTCAAGAGTAAAAAGTTAAAAACCCTCTACATCAGTAATATTGTAGATAACTGGCCCTGGAAAGAGGAGATATCCATTCACAAACAGTTATTAGAAACAAGATAATTATTTCCCTTCACATACAGAGAGATGAAAACATTTTGTCGCGGAGTGACTGCAGTCAATTTTAAGGAAGGGGTCTTTTCAATTTTACTTTTTTTTTTTTCCTGCAACTGTTTCCTGATTTTCAACACAGAAAACTGAAGAAAATAAATGAAATTATAGGCAAGAGCTTTCTGTATGGGAAGTAAAAGAGTACAGATAATGTAAGAATACATGTTGACCTGCAGATTTATGGTCGGAGGCTGCTTGATATTGAAACTGAAGTTCTCGTTCCATGTTGGCTCTTTCGTCCTGCAGGCATTACATTATTTGTAAATAAAATCAAGCTTATGAGTTGAATTAAAGCAAATGTCCATGAATTTTGTGGATCCACTGAAATTTTTATGATGATATGTTTACGTTATCTGTCATGAAGGCAACATGCAATACGTTTTAGATATCTCACATATTTAAGTTTCTATGATACTTTTTCCTACATAAAGAGGCAGTCAGAAACAAAAGATTCATTATCAGCAAACAGAAAGTAATCAATTAATAGAAAGTTTTCCAACTCTACCAATTCTAACAAGCAATAACTAATATACAAGTGTGTGAAAAACATAACTAACCATACAAAAAAAGTTGAACTTTGCACAGAATGAGAAGATGACAACAAAAAGAATTATGACATATATACAGATAGAAGAGCTATAAATTGTGTGTGTATATACAGAGTCCGGTCCTCTACTGTTCGACTGGACGCTATGAGCGCCGCTTGTGCTTGTCAATTGATCAGCAAGCACGGCCAATCAGTTGACACTTCATTTAATGCAAAATGTGCCTTTTTAGGGCCTAGGATTAGGTTTTAACTCTCAAGTTTTGGGTGTTGCTACACCTTAGAAGAGATCCAAGTAAATTTGTCATTTCAAGTGAAACAAGAGCAAGATCATTATATTAAAATCTAAGGCATCACAAAAGTCTTTAAGCAAACTTTGTTAGTGAACCATAAAGATTATCATTCTCTTTAATCTGTGGAAGGGGATCAAAGATTTAAAATTACATATGAAAGTAAAGTCGCAAACCTTACCCCCATTTAACCTTGCTTTTGACAACTTGACCATCTAATTGCATGACCACATATGGATCACTTGTTCCCTAAAAGCACATCAAATGTCAAATAAAAAGCAAAAACTAAAAGGAAAAAAAGAAACAAATAAGAAATGTGAATTACAGGTATAAAAGAATACAGAAGCCTACTGTAGTAATTAATCACTGTAATCCGTAATGCAGAAAAGGTTGAAAGGAATAACCAACCCATGGATCCATGGCAGGTAAGTTGAGACCCTTTTTCAGTTTAACTGACAATTCGCCATCATAGATCTCACGTACAAATGACCTGCACGCACGAAAAGCATTTTGTAACTGGTCATAAAAGTTACAAATTTATCAGCTTATTTGTAACTTTTCCCTAGAAACATGAATCAGTATAACTGTATAACTAAATGCATACAACTAAAAATAAGAAGTATCTGATAAGGAACTGAATGCATACTCTGAAAGATACACTGTCTTACAATCTGCAGCATCAACTTCTCGCCTCCCAATATTATCCTAAACCGAAAGAAAAAAAATCCAACAAAAATCAAATGAATTTGAAACTAAAACGCTTAAGGTAATCCACCATCAGGATCCCAAAAAAGCTTAGTTAACTTTTCACACACTTCCTCAGTAACTAAACAAAGCTTCAGGAACCAAATACCAGTCAAGTTCACAGCTAAAGTTCTTTCCTTTTCCTCAATTTTTTAAGAAAGCAAACAATTCAATATGACCCTAAAGAAAATAAAAGGAATTTCAGTTGAGAAACATTTACAGGAGGGCTGCTATAGGCCTCGAATGCAAAACCCGCAAGAACCACGGCCAAATTGATATCAAAAGGAGGCCTTTCATTTCCTTCCTCAGCAGAAACCTTCTCAACCTCAGAACCAGCTCTGCATAAGCAGCAAAGCGAGTAAATTCCATCTCTGCCCTTCCCATTTCCTCTAAAAGTTACCTTAACTTTCCCGGAAAATGAGATGGGAAAGCGCAGTGAAAGCTTGGGGTTTTGGAGGCTGTGGAGCTTTGGGGAGAGAGAGGAGACACAACGGTGGAATTGAAAATTGTCACGATGGGTTTGCAGAGAAGCCATGGCTGAGTTACAGTGTGGAACAAAGTGGCAGATGTGTAATTTGGTGGAGAAGGGGAGGAGATTTTTGTAGAGGTGGAGTGGTGGAGTGGCGTATGGTATCTCCCTGTTCCATGCAAGTGGAGAGGAAGCAATGAGAAGAAACTAGCAGCTATGAGAAGAAACTAGCCTTAGCGGGTAGTGTCGTTACGCTTTTACAGTTATGCCTGTCATAATCGAGTTTTTTCTGTTCTTTTTCAAATTCAAAAAATAAAAATATTTTTTTATTATAAAATAACAAGGAATGATCATAAATAAAATCAAAATTGTACAACATTGGGCAGCTTGATCTCTTTGATGGAGGGATTCTTCAACTCGCCATAAATTGGAGAACTCTAAGAATAAAGGGGATAAAAAAGTGGAATAGGGAGTATTTGATTACGGATTTTTACATGGAATCACAAATTTTTTTGGAAAATACGCGGCTTTGTCCCCAGTTTCAATGTTTTATTCAACAATGCATTCTTTTAGAAACTCATTCAAAAATACCCTCTATAAAAGTTCCCTATTAGCCACGTATCACCTTTTTATCACTTCTTTTTTTTTGTTGCTTCTTCTTCTCAGCTCAGCTCTTTTTGAGATGACACCCCAAATTGCTTTTTTCTTTGCTTCTTCTTCCTCCCTACTATGCTCTATATGAGATGAAACCCCAATTTTGTATCTCCTCCCTTTCATTGATACTCAGCCCTAATTCTCAATTCTCAATATTCTTCTTTTCAGGAGTCCAAAGACCCATCTTCCTCATCCATACCACTAACCACCACCAACAGGTTTGGCAAACCCAATTTGTGATATTTGTTCTGGAAATGGTGAATTGGCATTGATGAACTTTAAATTTTTATTTGAAACAGAACCATTTACTTGTCTGAAACCGAGCAAAAAATTTCCAAGAAAGACTTGAAAAGGAAAAAGGTGATACGACGACGATATAATACAATACTGAGGCAATACGACGATAATAAAAAGGCAATACAATGACAATAAGAAGGCAATACAAAAACTTCATACTCCCAACTATATAATTTTATTTCTAAGACCCACTTAAAAAAAGGTGATACGATGGCAATAACATTACAATAGAGAGGTGTAGGGGTTTTTTCGTTCTGGCAGCTACTACGGGTCTGGGCTGCCGTAAATAGCAAAATGGATGAAATTGCCCCTTGAGCCTGAGTTCTAAGATCAAGCCCCAATAATGCTTCGAAAGGACAGTAGGGCCTTAGGAAACACCTTGGTTACCGTCACCAACAAAAATAACAACAGCTTATAGATAGATTTTTTAACTTGGCATGAGAGGCTTGTGGCATGGGAGCAAAATTGTCATGAGTTTAACACTGAAGAGAAAAGTAAGTGTTCATAGGGGAAAATGATGAATAGAGCACGAATTTGCTGGGTTTTGCAAGTAAGAAAGGAAGCTTGCTATCTGGATATGGTTGTTTTAACTAGTGATGAAGTAGTGGGTGTGCTGGGTAGATTCCGGCAGCTCAACGAAAAACTCTGTAAACTTTAGAAATGTTTACCAAAAGGGAAAATGGGGAGAGATGGAAGGATAGAGTTCAAAATTGCAGAGGTTTCAGATATGAGAGATGAAGCTTGCTATCTGAATGTGTGTGTTGCTTGTTGGGTAGAAGAGGCCTCTTTTATAGCCGCTAGAAGCTATCCTTTTCCAAGAAACCCTAATGGCTTCTATCTTATTTGGCCAAGTATTTCCCTTCCTTTCCCCCCTCATCCCTTCAATCATCCTATTTTGGTGAAATCCACTCTGCCCATTTGCACAAAATCAGGAATTTTTGGGAGCTCAAGGCCCCTTTCCCGCAACTGTTTCAGTGGTAGACTCCCATTTTCAGCTATTTCCCTATTTTCTTACCTTCCTCCTTCCATGGCTAGATATGATGAAGGAAAGCAAATGGATATATATGTTGGTTCAAAGGGTGCCTCTCCTTCTGGCAGCTTGCGCGCTAATATCTCTTGGTTCTTCGGATATTTTTGCTTGAAACTTGTTCCTCCCCATGTGCTGGAGCCTCCCAGCAGCTTACACACAAGGATATTTTGGCTTTCATCGTGGCTTTTGTTTTCAGCTAGATGCTGGAGATTTTGCATATATTTTCTTGCTTGGGCCTTCTAGGTCAATAAGTTGGTTTATCAAGTAAATGGGCTAACCTTATCAAGAGTTGGACTATTTTGGTTGAGTTAATGGGCTACTTTTCTCTCTTTGTGCTCACCCACATGTTTGGGCACAAGAAATTGGCTTGAGTTCCGAGGCTCCCAAGCAACCCGGGACTTCCATTTCTCGGCCCATCAATGGGCCTCATGACAATTCATTACTATCCATACCACAACCCACTCAAGTAAGCCCCGAGCATTCACGTGACTTGGGCCCACTTAAGCTTGTAGCGTGGGGTGTTGCTTATTTGCTTGGCATGACACGCATGCAAGTGCATATGACGAACTTTCGCGTGCCCAAATCCGGTTTCTTCTCGGTAAGATATCGCATTGGGCTGAGAATATATTTGGGCCAAGCTGTGGATTTTTTGGGCCTCAACAAGAGGCAATACAAGCACAATAAGAAGGCAATATTGTCGTATTGCCTTATTATTATGGTTGTATTTTCCGTCATATCACCTATATTTTGAAGCATGTCTTGGAAATAAAATTAAATAAGGACCCTCTTAGTTGCATTAGTTTATACTGTATAGATATTAATTTGCTAGTTTCAAAATATCTCATGCCGATATTGAAGAGAGAGAAATTTCATAGTAAATCAATCCGAGAGTTCAATTTTTTATTTTTATTTTTTTGTGGGAATGTTTGCCTTTGATCTACTCTTGAGTGCTACTAAATTATGTTACTAACACATTATCTATCGTAGATAATTGCATGCTGAGTTGGAGTGTTCTTGGTAATTGCTTCACTTTTCAAACAACACTTTACATGAAGGATACTACCACATCTCATGAATATGTAAAAATTATCTTATATCTTATTTTTATTCAATAATATGTAAAAATTATGTGTATAGTACGTTAATTTTGTGTGTATTATAGAAAATTTTGTAAAAAAAATACGTGTATTAAATATGAAAAATACATACGTGTACAATACGATTATTGTATGTTTTCTTTTTTAAAAGCGTGTATTTTCTAAACTACTCTTATTGATAAATGAAATTTAAGGAAATTATTTATATATAAAAATAAATAAATAAATAAAACCAGTATAGCCGCAAGACTATACTATTTATTAAAAAAGTTTTAATAAAAAAAACCCCAAAATAGTATAGTCGGCTGGCTATACTATTTATTAGAAAAATTTATAAAAAAAACTGAAGTATAGCCGATCGGCTATGCTATTTAATTATATTATATTTTAAGCTTATCGCCGCTAGCCTATACTAAAAAAAAAAAAAAAAAAAAAAAAAAAATAATTCGGCTATACTATTTAATTAGGCTTAATTGCTACAGTGCACTTTGAAACATTAGTCAATTCTCACTTACCCCTTTGAAGTTAAAGTGACCCACTTTGCCCCATTGACCAAGGTTTGATGTTCCACATTGCCCTCTACCGTCAATTCTATCCAAAAGTCCGTTAAGTTTGATGACGTGGCAGAGGTGTTTTAGTAATTTTGTGCACCTAGATTTTTTATTCACAAATTTGAGTGGGTAATATGGCAAAGTGGAGCCCACCTCCAACATGGATAAAACAAATTAATAAAAAATTAATTACTTAAAAAAATTAAAAATTAAAACTGTCAAAAATCTCTCTCTCTCTCTCTCTCTCTCTCTCTCTCTCTCTCTCTCTCTCTCTCTCTCTCTCTCTCTCTCTCTCTTTCTAATAGCTTCTGGAGATGGAAGGAAAACGGGAGGTTGCTTTAGCTTGTTTTGATAATTTGTAAGAGGAGCAAAAGGATAAGGCATGGGAAGATTTTGAAGCAATGGATTTAGATGGTGATGGGACAATAACTCTCATCGAATACCAGCAGTTTTATTATGGCAGCTCTTTGGCCTCGTTTGGTTCATGGGAAAGGAATCATGGGGATGGGAAAGCAATTACTTTCCCATGTTTGGTAAGTCAGGCATGGGAAATCGTTTCCTGGGACATGGGAAAATAGGAGGGAAAGTGATTCCATCCTTCCTCCTTGGGTTTTACTTTCCCTTCCCATGGGAAAGTAAGACAAGCATTAAATGCATTTTTTTTCTGACTAATTTGTCCTTACTAATAATTTTAATTACAACTTATCCAACAGCAGCAACGTTCTATTTCCCCTTGGGTATTCTTTTTTGTTTTTTTTAAATTCACATTTCTCAAAACCCTCCCAGCAGCAACGTTCTATTTTTAATAGGACATTTTGCATATTCGAACTATCAATAGGACATTGGTGTAATGTTTAATAATTAAATTGGAAAGTTTAATAAAATTAATAGATTTTTCATATTTTTAATAGGGGTACAATTGGGAAACTAAACAAAATTTGATTTCCATTCCTACTCAAAACAAACATGGGAAAGGAAATAAAGTGATATTTTCGGGTTACTTTCCCGGCATTACCAAACATGGGAAAGGAATCACCATTTCCCATTCCTTGGGAAATCACACGGGAAATGATTTCCCATCAAATCCATTCCGTGAACCAAACGGGGCCTTAAAGGATCCCCTTCCAGGAGCTCAACACTAACAAAGATGGCAAGTTGAATTTTTCAGGAATTTAAAACTCTTTTCTATTTGTTGCTCAATTCCAAGGGCACAACACCATTAGTGTTGAGGGATGCTTTCATCTGTTGAAGACATGTAAAGAAGCATTTTGTATCTAATATGGCACATAGGATTTTAGGACTTGACATGCTTTTGCTTGTGCTTCACTTTTCAAGTAACACTTTACATGAAGAATGCTACCTTCTCCAGAAGTATAGCCGCGTGGCCATACTATTTAATTGTATTGTATTTAAAGCGTATTGCCGCACTGCTATACTATTTATTAAAAACGTTTTTAAAAAATCCAGTATAGCCGAGCCACTATACTATTTAATTATATTATATTTAAAGAGTATATAGCCGCTCGATTATACCCTTTATTAAAAAAATTAAAAACTTAAGTATAGCCACGCTATACTATTTATTAAAAAAAGAACCCAATATAGCAGCACGGCTATACCATTTATTTTTAAAAAATTATATTAAAAAAACCCAAAGTATAGCCGCCCTACTATACTATTTATTAAAAAAGCCTTAAAAAAAATTGAAGTATAGCCGCCCGGCGATATTAAGGTTGCAAAGAAGGTGTTAAGGACTTATAGCTTGGAGTTAGTTGGTTAGACAGATTCAGACTTTGCAGGACGTAAAGACACTTCTTAGTCAACTTCCAGGTTTGTGTTAATGGGAGGTGGTGCAGTAGCTTGGAGGAGTGTAAAACAACCTTCTATGGCTACATCTACCATGTTTGATGAGTATTTGGCATGCTATGAAGCTGGCTACCTCACATGCCATGTGGCTGAAAATTTTCATTGAAGACATGAAAGTTGTTGATTCCATTGCAAGACCTATTCAATTATTTTGTGATAACAAAGGGGTGGTGTTCTTTTGCAAGAATAACAAGAGGTATGCTGGCCTCAAACACATGAAAGTAAAGTATCTGCTAGTTAGAGAGAAAGTTCGAGAAGGTTCAACTTCTGTTGATTATATCAACACTACAGAAATGCTGGAAGATACTTTGAATAAGGCAATCCCAAACAATTTGTTTCAGAGGCATGTGATTAACATGGGGTTACTGTCTAGATTTGAGTATGCTTTTAGTGGGAGCTTTATCTTTTGATAATCTTAACTAGTTTGTTTAAGTTTACTTTCATACCATGAGCTGTTTTTATTTTGAGATATTCTAGACAGTTTTTAGATTCATGAATGAATGTTGTTTTGAGTTCATTGGTTACAGTTTTACAGTTCAGTTTATAAGCTTGTTTGAAGATGCAGGTGAGATCATATATGTACTCTATGTGGATATCATTGCTTATTGTGATTATAGGTGGATGATATCTTATATTGAATACCATGTCTGTAGTCCATTGAGTTGATGATATTTGACAGCGAGTGTGGTTTAGGTATTGTTATCAAAATGTTTCTCCAAACTGTGCACATAAGGAATTAATTTCTTGTTTCTTAAAGAAGAGCCTTAAATGGATGTTTCACTCAAGTGGGAGAATGTTAGAACTCCTTATCGAGTTCACATCTATTTAGGACTCCTAAATGGACAAGGATAGAAGGGAGAGATAGAGTTGATATTCTCGGATAGGTTTGATAGAGTAGGAGCTCTATCTCACTTGTAGAATACCTATTTACATTAGGTTATGGATACCCGAGGTAATAAGGATAAACTTGGAGAGTTCCTTTATGGGCAAGGAACCTTAAGGCTCTCATCCTATAAAATTAAGGCTTTGGTCCCCACTCTCATACACCAATACAGACTCGCATTCCTACCCCTTTATATAGGATAGAACAAGAGTGTATAGAGAGAGAGGAAGACCAATTCGTGTGTGCCAGTTGCTGCTGCTGTGCTTGTTTTCAATGGCTTCTCAAGGTATGTGCTTATAGGTGTGAAATAGATCTTACAAAGGGATTTAAGAGCAATGATCAGAACGGTTTCTTGTTCCTCAAGAAAAGGAGCCATCCATGAGAGGACCCAAGGCAAATACCATTATCACGCAAAGGGTTCTCCAAGTGGTAACTCTTGCCTTCAAGAGTGCGAAATCAAAACCCAATATCATTCGTAAAATGAGGAAGAAAGATCCATGGCGGTTCTAGTAAGCAAGTGAATGATGATGGCGACTATAATATATATTTGACTGACTTATTCCATGAAAGGCAAACCGCTTCAAATTGAAGTACGTTTTTTACAGACAATTTTGGTAAGATCAAGGCACAAGGTCAATTGGAAGTTCAGACCATCTTGATTTGCTACATATTGTTCCTTTGGAGTGGAGTGGACTGGAGTTTTGTCTACCATTGATATATGATCTTCAAGAGAGGCTCACTTTTAACTTGAAGACATTAAGAAATTTTAACCCTAGCTCTAAGAAAAATAAAACGAATTGATATCAGTGTATTGAGCACTTAAAAATAAAACGAAGTAACCCTAAACCCTAAAACGAGGTTGGTTATGTAGAAAATATATTTCCTTGTATTTAACAGATTACACAAAGTCCATATTTATCCTAGTACAAGATATCTACTTAAGGTAGGAAATAATATAGACATGAATACAATCCGATTTACAGCAAGAAATCCGATTTACAGCAAGAAAGGCTAATTTCTATGAGGAGATTGTGAAGTTGACTTCCGTGTAGGCTAAGAAAGGAAAGTTGCATTAACACCCCTTCGCAAACTGGGCATCATAGGATGCACAAGTTTGGAAGACATATGCTGATGGCACGGTTTGTGAAAGGCTTTGGTGAATAGGTCCGCAGGTTGGTCGATAGAAGGAACAAAGAAAACTTGATGATTTCTAAGAGCAACCTTTTCACTAACAAAGTGCCAGTCCAACTCAATGTGATGTGTGTGGGCATGGAAAACTGGATTGGCAGCCATGTACGTAGTGCTGAGATTGTCACAAAAGAGTTGGACTAGGAACCGAAGACGCACACCCAATTCATGAAGAAGATAGCATATCCAAGTGGTTTTGGCACAAGCATAAGAAAGGGCACGATATTCCGACTCTGTACTAGAGCGCGAGACTGTGAGCTGTTTCTTGGAACACCATGAGATGAGGTTAGTTCCAAGAGTAATCACATATCCAGTGGTCGACCGACAAGAATCGGGGCACCCAAATTCGTATCAAAGTATGTGGAATGGCGGCAGTTTGAGGAGTGAAGGTGAGGCTGAGATCAATAGTGCCCTTGATGTACCCAAGTATCCGTTTGGCGGCAACAAGGTAAGAGGTGCGAGGGGCACTCATGAATTAAGCAAAAGTGCTGACGGCAAAAGATATGTCAGGGCGAGTAAGAGTGAGATACTGTAAACTGCCAACAAGCTCGCAATACTCGATTGGGTTGGAGATGAGAGCACCATCAGAGACTGAGAGGAGAACCTCGGTAGCTAATGGAATATATGCGGGTTTAGAGTTGAGAAGATTGGCTTTCTGTAAAAGATCATGTGCATATTTGAGTTGATTGATGTGGAGAGTACCATTCTTATGAAGAACCTGTAAACCCAAGAAATAGTTGAGCGGACCAAGGTCTTTGATGTCAAAGTGGCCACCTAAAATAGAGATGAATTGTTAGAGATGAGTGGAATCACTACCAGTTACCACGATGTCGTCGACATATAGAAGAATAAAGATGGTATGGAACGCTTGTTGAAAAATAAATAATGAAGTGTCAGCTGGCTCTGTGTAAAGCCCATAGAGAGAAGGAAAGTACTAATGCGATGGAACCAAGCATTAGGTGCTTGTTTGAGGCCATAGAATGCTTTGTGGAGCTTGCAAACATAAGAAGGACGAGTGTGATCAATGAAACCAAGGGTTTGAGCCATATAGACATCTTCTTGAAGAAACCCATGGAGAAAGGCATTTTTGATGTCAAGTTGATGAAGGGACCAACCACCAGAAACTGCAAGACTAAGAACATTGCGAATGGTGGTAGGCTTGACAACAGGACTGAAGGTTTCAACATAGTCTATGCCCGGACATTGATGAAAACCCTTGGCAACTAGACGAGCTTTGTAGCATTCAATGGAGCCGTCAGAGTGATGCTTAATTCGAAAAACCCACTTGCACCCAACCAAGTTATGAGACGGAGAGGAAGGAACCAAAGACTATGTATGATTTTTGAGAAGTGCATTGATCTCTTCAGTCATGGCATCACGCCATTTAGTATGCTTAGTGGCCTGTGAAAAACAAGTAGGTTTAGTATGCTCAACAACAGTTAATAAAGCACGGGGAAATGGATATTTGACAGTGTCGTCGGTATGAAGCTTGGGCTTTTAAATGCCATCCTGAAGGCGGGTGCACATGCAAGGAACAGGGGCAGGAGATTATGGAGCTGCTGGAACTTGGGGGTTCGGAGCTGCTGTAACCCGGGGGGTTCGGAGCTACTGGAACTAAAGAAGTGATCGATACGAGCCCAAGTGCGGAGGAGGGCAGCTTCAACCCAGAGATTGTAGGGAGTGTGAGAAGTGGTAAGAAGGGTACGGATCATGGTGGCAATGTGTTTGTTTACATTCAGCTAGGCCATTTTGTTGGGGAGTGTGGGGACGAACGTTGGTGGATGCCAAGTTGACTACAAAGATCAGAGAAAACATTATTAACATATTTAGTCTCATTGTCACTTTAAAGGATTTGCATAGTGGTGTGAAATTGATTTTTAACCATGGCAAGAAAGGTTTGAAAGTGAGAAAATACCTCATTTTTACAGTGCATAGGATAGATCCAGGAGTAACAGGAAAAGTCATTTGTATACAAGACATAATAGCGATAACCAATGACATAAATTACCGGGGACATCCATACATCAGAGTGAATTAAATTAAAGGGAGATGGGCCAAAGGATTTATTACTAATAAAGGATAGTTTGGTGGATTTGCTAAGTGCACAATCCTTACAGAAAGCATAAGAAACTTTAAAGCCTAGAGATGGCGCTAAATGAGAGAGCACAGAATCGGATGGATGGCCAAGGCGACAATGCCAAGCAGGAGAGTGCACGATGGTAAAGGCACGGGGGACAGTGGATGAGTGAGAGGAGAGGGAAAGTGGGTAAAGACCATCTTTAGAATGGCCCTAAAAGAGTAACGAACTAGTACATAAGTCATAGATTTGATAAAAGTCAATAGTAAAGACAAATAAAACTAAATTATCATGAGTAAAACGGGCAACAGAATGAAGATCAGTACGAAGAGATGGAAGACAAAAGATATTTTGAAGAGAAAATTTGTGAGAACCTAAAGGAAGAGGAAGAGAACCAGTATGAGAGATAGAAAGAAAATCTCAATTACCAAGAAATACAGAATTATTACCTTGATATGGCTGTTGATTTTGGATATTAGAAGGACTACTAGTCATGTGATGAGTGGCACTTGTGTTAGGGTACCAAGTGGAGTCAGGTGGCTGCATGAATTGAGCCCCAGCAAAGGAAGGAAAGGATTCTAGGCCATTGTAGCGATGGAGACATGTTGCATTAGTATTTTGATTGGTATTGCAAGTGGTGCATCAAGGAGCTGAGTTGGGCCAGGGAGAGTGTTTGTTAGAAGCTGCAGATTGGGCCCCAAGAGGCTGAAAGGATGGCCAGTTGCTTTGAGATCTAGAACTTGGAGCAAAAGGAGGCCACGATTGATTAGGCCATTGGGGCTATTGGGAGCCATTCCACGGGTTGCTCCAGGAAGATGAGAAGTTATGCCAACCACCATGGTCGCGACCGCACTAGCCACCGCGGCCACCGCGCCTATTGCTGGAAGAGCCACAACCATGGTGAGAAAGGAAGAAAGTATGACTGATGGTGTGAGAAGAGGATTGGGTGGCCATTAGCGTTGTGTTTTGATCATGCGAGATTCGAGGAGCATGTGCGTCAAAAGCTAACAAACGAGCACGAAGATAAGCAAAGTCAGGAAGCGGAGGAAAATTGAGAATTACCATGATGAGCATTTTGTAATCGGGTCCTAAACCCTAAAGCACAGTAGTGACAAGTTCTTTTAGGGAGACATGTTCATTGATGGCAGCCAGTGAATCGGCAAGAGACTTAGCATGATTAAGGTAAGCATCAATGGGTTGAGAGCATTTTTGCAAATCCATGAGTTGAAAGCGAAGAGCAGATTCACATGCCATACTGGATTGAGAGAAGTGGCATTGGAGACACTCCCAGAGACCTTGAGTAGAGGTGCAGCCAACGGTGAGAGAGAGAATGGACTCAGAGAGTGTACTGTTGATGTAACTAACAATGAGTTGGTCTTGTTGGTACCACTGAGCATGGGCGGGATTGGTTTGGGTAAGAGTGGAGGTGGTGGTTGTGGGTGTTGCGGTGGTAGAAATGGAGGTTTAGGCAAAATGTTGTTTATGAGTGCCATCGATAAATTTCCAAAAGTTATGACCGATTAAAAAGGGTTTGAGTTGGCGGAGCCAAAGGAGATAGTTGGAGTCAGTAAGCTTGATAAAATGAGAAAAGTTGGGGCTAGGGAGGGAGATGGTGGATTCAGACGAAGCCATGAGGTGGACCTAAAGGATGATTGGATCAAATAAGGGAGAAGGAGGAAACCCTTGGTTAGACTGATACCATGTAGAAAATATATTTCCTTGTATTTAACAGATTACATGAAGTCCCTATTTATACTAATACAACAGGAAAGACTAATTTTTAGGAGGAGATTGTGAAGTTGACTTTTGTGTAGGCTAGGAAAGGAAAGCTGCGTTAACAGGTTACTTGGAGATGAAGTTTGGACGATTTTATATTTTATATTTCATTATAAAATAAATTAAAAAATTATTATTATTAAAATAAAAAATAAATAAATAAAAGCTCCTTTTATATTACGTTTTAAAATAGGTGGAGAAGAGAGGTTGGTTAGAGTAGTAGTGGCAGGTGTGTAATTTGGTGGAGAAGGGGAGAAGATTTTTGTAGAAGTGGAGTGGTGGAGTGGCGTAGGGTATCTCCCTGTTCCGTGTTAGTGGAGAGGAAGCTCTGAGAAGAAGCTGGCCTTGGCCGTTAGTGTCTTTACGTAGTTATGGTATGGCTGTCGATAGAGTGATTTTTTTTTTTTTTTTTTTTTCAAAAAATAAAAATATAATTTTTATAAAATAACAAGGAATTATCATAAATAAAATCAAAATCGTACAACATGGGGCAGCTTATAGATCCCTTTTGATGGAGGGATTCTTCAACTCGTCATAAATCGAAGAACTTTAAGAATAAGGGAATAAGAAATTGGAATTAGATCAACGGAACCACATAATTTATTATTCTTTATTTGTAAGTAAAGGCAGGAATCGCAATATGTTAATAAACACAAGGAAAAAAGGAATTACAATTATTAAAATACCCATAAGTAAACATACCATAAATTCTTATTCAATTATCATCCTTAAATAAATAAATAAATAAATAAAAAGGTAAGAACATTATTTTTTATAAATATTGAAATCAACATTATTCAATGGAAAGGATCTAGATACCTTAAAGAAGTCTTGTATTTGGAAAAAGGTGTTGTTAATTGCTAAAACTTGGGATCAAGCCAAAGATCTGGTGAGTAAGGTGGCCTCTGTGGAAGATCACAAACTTTTTTCACTCTTTTGTCACTCAAGTTGAACACACCTAAATGACCTTTAAGGTAAGGCATTTCTGTGAAGTAAATTGAATTCTCCTCCCACTCTGAGCCATCACCGGAGCAGATCATCACCGTGGACTGCTTCGAACCCAAAACGAACGCCCAATTGCCAATCGATTCCACCTCCATCCATCCACATTTACCATCTATCAAACCCAGATTATAAACACGGAACGAAATTGTTTTATCCGCGGTATGGCTCCAACTTTCATAGATCCTCAAAATTAGGAACAGATCTTCCCCTGTTTTGATAATGTAAGCTCTGTGCAGCTGATCTTTATTTTTCACTTGTTCAACTATCGCCGACGCGTTATGAGGTCGGATCTTCAACTTTTTAACAGGAGATGAATCAGGGAAATCCCAGACATGGACGCAAAAATCTAAGCGTAATGCATAGAACTTATTATTGGAGCTAGTAATGTCAATGTACTGTGCTTGCTTGCCAAGTTTTCTCCACGTACCATCTGTAGTGGTACAAAACATAAGAAAATGGACTGCAAGGAAATTGATCTGGTCTTGCTCCAACCAGCCATTTTTGAAGGTGTACATCACCAAGACTACAATTTTATCATTGTTGTTTTGGTTACTGCTGCAAGTCGGTCTCGAAGACAGAACAACTTTGCTAATCCTTCTTGCCATATCCTCCACTGAGCCCATACAGCAACGTTCTGGTGTTATAGGATTAGTATGAATACATTTGTTGGATTTGATTCTACAATACGCATGCCCGATGCGTGTCGGGATCTTAGGGTATGTGATGGAAATTATATGTGGACAAGTTTGGAAAGATGGAAGAAGGAGTTGAATCCCAGATAAGGGATTTAAGAGCAGCGGCCGGAGCTGTTTCTGTTCCTTGTTCCTCAAGAAAAGCAGCCATCCGTGAGAGGATCCAAGGCAGATAACATCAGCATGGCGTAACTTCCCGGGAGGGTCCTTCAAGTGGTAAATCTTGCCTTTAAGAGTGCGAAAACGAAACCCGACATCATCGTCATACTTATGAAGAACGATCCATGGCGGTTCTGGTAAGCAAGCGAGTGATGATGGCGACTGCGATATATATTTGACTGCCTTATTCCATGAGGGCAAACCGCTTCAAATCGCAGTACGTTTTTGACAGACAATTTTGATAAGATCAATGCACAGAGGTCAATTGGAAGTTCACACCATCTTGATTTGCTACGTACTTTGGAGGAGCGGAGTGGAGTTTTGTCTGCCATTGATATATGATCTTCAAGGGAGGCTCACTTTTAATTTGAATATATTAAGAAATTTTAACCCTAAACCCTATACGATCTCAATCCTTTGTCTTGATTTTCTCTGCTAGGATCCTGCTTGGGTAAGAAAAGTTCCTTTTATATTACGCTTTAAAATTACAATAATGCTACTCTTACCACATTTTGTATATCACATTTTCATACCACATGATGTGGCACCTTACTTGGACATGCTACCTCATTTAATTTCATTTTACATTTTTTAATTTTTATTAAAAACCCTAAAAAAATTGATTAGATCTTTTATGTTTTATTCTCCACTCCATCTCTTTCTTCTCTTTCCCACCGCGGCAACCTCCTCCCTTCTTGTCCTTCCAGCCATTCTCCGTTCTCCATTCTTTTAGTTGATTCTTATTTGATTTCTAGCAAACCATCTTTTCTTTCCTTTTTACTTTTATAAAGAATTATTTTATCTAATTGTTTCATTGAAAATTAAAGGAGTCGAAAGGAAGAAAAATGTCTATATCATGTTAAGGGTTATGGGCCATTGTTCATGATCATGGCTGAAAGTTCTCAGATCTGTCTATGATGATTGGTCTTTTCCTATTAATTGCGTTGATCGTGCTGTGTTTTTTCAATTTACTCTTTTGTATCTTTTGTGATGTTTTTTCCATTTGTTCTGTAAATTAAGGAGGAGGAGGGAGGATGAAGGGTTTAGGGTTTAGAGGGACTTTCAAGAGGGAGGAGGAAATTGATTGGGGGAGACAGAGTGGTGAGGAGGAGGACGCAAGGATATGAGAATTCTAACAAAGTTTATTATTATAATAATTATTAAATATATTAACCAAAATGAATGAAAAATAAGATAACTTAAAATGAAATTAAATGAGTTGGCATGTCCAAGTAAGGTGCCACATTATATGGTACGGAAATGTGATAAGAGTAGCATTACTCTTAAAGCTATATCGCAAAAGTTCCTTTTATAGAACTCATCATTGCTTTTCTTGCTGCAATAAATTGGTTGCGATGAGCGCAATGCACATGGACAAGGTCAAAAGGCAATTTGATCCATGGAACAGAGAAAGTGGTGAGTGAAAAATGGAGCGTAATTACTATATTACCCTATAATTTTAAGTTCATTATTCAACTTGTTCAATGCTACAAGGGTATAATTGAAAATTTCCCCTTTTTGGTTGATAAAAAAGGTTTTATCAAATATTAAAAACTCTAAATACTAATAGAGTGTTAGTTGTATTGGCCCAAGCCTTTGATGTGCTCCGAATTGGTTAATTTCTCATGGTACCCTTGTGTGTGCGTTTCACCCGTCCCTTCTTAACTTTGGCAAAATATTTATTAAATAGAGATAATATACTAACAAATATGCTTCTGCATTCTAGTCGTACAAAGAATGATGAATTGGACAGTCCACAGATAACAGTAAAAAGAAAGTATATTAATAAAGGTGAAGGAAACCAACTTGTTTGCAATGCATTGCATTGCATTTGGTGTGGTTTTATTACATAAGCTGTGATTTGGAAGGAAAACAAATTAAAGATCTGTAGCGTTTATTACAACTGACAGACAAATTTTCTTGTCCCTAATGATTAAGGAAAGAGCAAAATGATTCTAAAAAGACCCTAAATCCATCAAAGCGGCTGCTAACACCACTTCACACATCATAAGAGGAAGATGGCATGTTTCTTCATTTCTTTTCATTCATGCCAAGTGTGCTCTTCACACTGTCCATGGCACCGTGAGCCATGTTCATCACTTGCTCTCCAGTCTGTAACAACACCAAACATTATGAAGCTATTTTTAAATAATGTAGAACTTGTAGAAAGCAAAATATAGCCAACAAATTTTTCTACTCATAACTAACGATTTTTTATATATTCATTCTAGAGAAAACAGGACGGTCTTAAAGTCAGGACATGCTACTAGATTAAGAGTTAGTTGATACGTCAAATTTCTCATGTAAAAGAGTGAAAGAATTAAGAATTGATAAGAAATCTTTTAACCTGCTGAATAAATCCAGCACTTTGGTCCTTTCCATGCTGGGCAGACTCCTTGGCTGATTGAGCTGCATCAGATGTCATGTTCTTAGCTTGATTTGCTGTGTCCTGTGTGGATTGCATCCACTCTTCTGCCTTAGCCTGCACCAACAGCAGGGGTAAAATTGTCATAATAAATTAAATACTGCTGCTTAAATTGAGAACATAAATTGATACCATAGATATACCTGGCCCTGGCCTTGGGCTTGGCCTGCATTCAAGGGTTGCTGCATGCTAGACATTTTCTCTCGAGAAATTGTGGTATTAATGAGAATGATTCTGTGTAAGTTGGGGTTTGTTAATTGATGATGTAAACTTTTGTTGATTGATATGTATATATAGACTAAGTTATGATCCTAAAAGAGAGTGTATGCAGGGATCTGGGAACGAGTCTCTCTGCAGCGTGTATTTCTGCTGTTGAAATGGGCATTGGGTGACATTAATTAGTATGGCAGTTGCCAATTTTTTCATGGTCCTCCCAAAAGAGGGGACTACGCACCACCAGGCAGTGATTGAGAAGATCAAAGAGTGCTCTTTGTTGAGAAAAATTTGGGTAGACTTTCTTGTCACGTGCCGGGATGAGTACAACCTTATCTTTATTTATTATTTTCTGTTGGAGATGGAAGAAATAGGGTGAGGGTGGGCAAGTAGGGTATAGATCAATTGGTTGAGTTTTATGTGGGTAGAGACTCAAAACCCTCAAGCACCCAATGAATATTTGTTTAAATTCCCCGCCCCAATCGCTTGTACTTAAAAAAATATATAAGGTGGGCTAAATTTCTCATTTTAGCAAATATTAGGGAAATTGTTAGTTCCACATTTGCATGTTCTGTTTTAACTAAGCATCACATGCCACACATGACAAGGATATTTCCACCCAAATTTGTGTCCTCCGGAACCCAAATTCAGAAGTCGTTAAGAAAAACATACTTAGAAAATTTTCCCCATCAAAGCTAATTACACCACTAAAATTTTGTGTTAATTTGTACCATTAACTTTGGCATTGATTTGGTTTACATGCGTCTAATTTATACCATTGCTTTTGGCATTTCTTGCTATGACAAAAACTTAAAATTTCAAGATAAACATGAATATCCATGATTTTGGCCATAGAATTCTTTGTGCCAAACATGTGATTCCAGGAATTCCACCTGGTGTGCTTGTGCATCTGAAAAAACATAATTGACAACTTGAAAGAGCTCTAACACACACAACCGAACACGTGATTTTTCACATGATGTGACGAGCTTATCAAGTTTATCCCCAAGTTTATCCTCTAATTATTGAAACATTAAATAGGTTTAATCCAATGCTAATTTTTATCTATTTGTTTTAGATAACATCATTTAAAAACTATTTCTATAAAACTCTTCTGTAGGTAATATTGGCTGGTAAAAACCAAAACCATATTTCTCATTTGCACATTTCCATAGTTTTTGTTTTTTTCGGGTTTGAGAAAATGGATTTCGTTAACATGAAGAATACAGTACAAGATGCGACAACATGTAAACAAAGTGGTCTGATTAAAACCTTTCTGAGGAAAATTGAAAGGGATAAAACCTCATAAGAGGAAAGAGTACCACACACATGCCTAAACTAAAGAGTCAAACATCACTAGAACTGAGTCTTCCATAGTCATACATAAAAGGACGAGTGAACATCCTTATTTGGCTAAAGGCATCGTGCAACAGGCACTTTAAGACTTGTGCATGCAAGGAAACTATATATGAGTTTGCGTAAATCATGTATAATATTAGCATGATAATAGATAAGGTTTTTGGAGATATTAGAGTTTACACAGCCCCTCATTTTCCGTAGCCACAACTTAAATAAAAGAGCTATGGAAAAAGAACCAGGGATTGAAGTACTGCCATTATCTGACCCTTATATGCGGCCAGGCAATATATAAGATAGTTTCGAGGGCGGTAGAAGCAAAGCTAGCTAAAGCCTAAATTATGCAATCTTAGCGCATAAGAACAGCAGCCTCCTGGACCAAAGGTGTAGTAACGTGTACGAAATGCTCGGCTTCCCTCTCGACCTGTTCCCGGCACTTGTGACTGCCCTTTTCCTTCATTTTCTTGACGAATGCCACAAAATGCCTCCAGTTATCGGGCTGGAACAAGTGCGGGTTCATCCTCAAGTATGTGAACGCGCACATTTGGTTGCCTTCGGTATTTCCCTCAATGTTCAACGACGATGCTTCCAATATCTGCTTGTGTGCGTAGTCATCGTACCTTGGCAATGCATTTTCACCTGCGAGCGGTACGTTTGCTTTCAGAGTTGCCATAGCCACTTGCCTAACAAGCTTCTCTGGTAAACATTGAGCCTCCTGTGGCTGCTCGTGGTCACGCATCTCAATGCAAGTAAAATTGAATATTGCACCTTGGCGCGCTAACATTTGAGCAATAGGAATGTAACCATCCCGGAATCGTGTGTTGTAATACCCTGCTGTCAGCTCAGGGGCATGGGACCGGGTTCCATAATGCCAGTGGATGCCTGCAATCTTTACTGAGATCTTCACACCGTGATTCTCAAAGATGGACTTGGCTGAGGTAAGGATCCTCTCACCATGGTCCAGAAGCATCTGAGAGTACCAGCTGAGGAAGAATTCACCATAAGTACTGTTCCAGCCTCCACCATCTTTTCTGAAAAATGGGGTATCTTCTGGCCATTTATTATATTCACCGGCATCAGTGGGGCCTGTGCTTCCCCATCCTGGCTTGCCAGCAGCTTCAGCAGCAGCTTTTAAACCACTGAGCATATACTGCATCATGTTACATATATTAGTCATGGTCTAGGAAAAAAAAAGCTACAAGCACGGGGAGAGAGAGAGAGAGAGAGAGAGAGAGAGTTAAATACCTTGTCAAAACATTGGAAGGCACCAATTCCGGGAAACCTCCATGTCCCATTCTGCTCTGGATATGAAGGGTAACGAAGCTCACCTGCTGGCCCCATTCCAACTTGGATTTCCTGAATTAGGAATATTGAAACAAATTAACAAACAGGAAAGGCATGTGGCAGCATGTTCAAATGTTACAAAACTAAAGATTGAATACGGTTGCAGACGCATGCATAGTCTTAACGAACAATAAAAGCCATTCATTAACCACCACAGGTTTGAGTTTTTTTTTCTGTTTAGCATTCCTTTTAAGTGAACTTGTAGCAATATGATTTTTCAGCATGTGCCAGAGGATGAGTTTATCCTAAGCATCTGATAGAACATTTACCACCAAGGTAAGAACAAACAAGTTATTCAAGCACTTCAAGGTTCAAAGTTAAGTCAACGTCAAGGCTCAAAGTGCAGCAAACCAATAAAGACACATTAGAAACACTTCTTCCTAAGGCAATTGCTATGAACCAACAAGCTCTTGCACTGTTGGTTCAGTGTAAACAGTTTATGTATCCATCTTTCAGGCACATGCAATCGATTCTTTAACAAGAGGAGATGCTTTAACAAGAGACACGGTTATTATTAAGTTTTATATAGTGGGATAGTTTCAATAGCACAATAAACTCTATCAGAAAATTGAAGTCACAATCAACCAACTATGAAACTCTTAAGCACCCAACTGAATTCAACTAGTAAGAATAAAAAGCCTGAAGTATTACCACAATGGTGTCACCAAGGAGGTGTTTGAAGTTGTCTCTGAAGGCACGCATGAAATCAGCGTAACACTGCACGGGTGTCCTGCCCTTAAGGACCGGGAGGGTATCAGCGCCAAGTGATAAATACTCACAGTTCCTCCTTCCCCATTGATCAGTGTATGCAAGGTCTGGATCCTTATCAACCTCCTCCACAACCCACTTGGGTAAAGGAATTCTGTGTTCAACAAAAATAGACTATTCACCAAAGCGCCACAAATCTCCAAAATCCCATACAACAATGTAATGTTCAAGTGCAATGTTGCTAAAGATGCCATTATCAATAGAAAATAAGACATCGCTTTTGGTAATGGAATAAAAGAAAAATCTAATCTATATATTTTTGTAACAAATCCAATGAACGCATTATTGTAACAACCCCAATCCAAACTACAGCTTTCCCCAAAAAAGGATGGCATATGATCATATTGGTTATGATGTTTCTTTCCTTTAATCACAGTTTATCAGTACCTAATCATGAGAACTTTACAGTTTTACTATCCCCGATTGCAAAAAATAATGACATATTTAAGACCCAACAGTTACTTTTCTAACTGGTATACATCCATTTTTCCAAATATGTTGTTAAGCCAGGCCTAGATGTACTGCTCAAGTAAAGTAACTTCCAGAAAAATCTATTCAGCCAAATTCAGACAAAAGCTAATGTACTTTGGTTCACACAAGAGCGTGCACCCACGCTCCAAAGTCGCACGTGAAAGAAAAAATTAAACCAATAAGAAAAACGTGAAAACAATGAACACTGGAAATAACATGAGAGAGAGAGAGAGAGACTCACGTGACAGAGTCCCCGACGTTGCCGCCACACTTGTGAAACGACATCACAGCCTGGACTTTGAGGCCATGCTTCTTCGCCATCTCGAGAAGCTCCACGTACCCGCCCCAATTGTACGCGCCGGGCGCTTCCCTCTCCACCAAACCCCACCACACATCCATCATCACACCCTCCACCCCCGCGCTCTTCAAAGCCTGAAGACTCGCGTTCATCGCCTTCTTCCGATTCACAGAGTTGTTCATCGTCACGCTATCCAACGGCATCATCACGTAAACCGGCACCCCCGTCCCCTTATTCTGTGCACGCCTCACCTGGTGCTCTAGAACCGGAGATTCCATCTCCGTCGCGAACGCCTGGCACGCCACCGACAGATCGGGCCGGGTCGACCCGAGAGGTGACCGGCAAGGGCTCAACGGCGGCGACAATCCGTCGATCGCGTCTGGCCTCTGGATTTTGCACGTCAGGCTCGGCGTCGACGACCTCCACTTCGGCGATGCGTTCACCGATTCAACGGAGGATGAGTTCGTATCTGTCGTCGAAATCGATGCTCCGGCGAGTGTTCCGATCTGGTGCGTTAGGTTCAACGCCATTCCCGAAGCCAAACAGAAAATAAGCCTAAAAAGTGAGAGGAAATAAATTAAAGAGGAGAAAAAGCTGTATTTTGGACCTCTGCCTTTTCCTTTGCTCTGCGTGTGAATTTTTTTGCTTTTGGAGATTCAGATTCTCAGTTAAGTCACAGTAGCTTTTGTTTTTCAGATCTTTTTCGGATTTGAAAATTTTGTGTGGGAAAAGGGAGGATTGTGAAGCTCCTACATTTATAGAAACGAAAGAGCTTGGTTTGGAACTGGGTTTGGATAAGATTTAAATAATCTTTTCTGAGCCGCTGCCTTTCCGACACGTGTTCTTCACTCCACGTGGCAGCGGGCTTAGCGGCCCAAAATGTGACGGCTACGATCCTCGGGATGCTCATGAGCCGACGAGTCTGGACGGTGCGATGGCGCTTCGCGTGAAGGTTCCAGACTTTTGGCTAACGCGCTTTGCCGCCTTGCCGCTTTGACACGTGGAGGAGAGGAACTGGCACCGGGAGAGGAAACTGTCCTTAAGGCTTAAGACATGTAGTTGGGTGAGACTGGGGGTGGAGGTGGCTTGTTACTGTTGTTGTCGTTTTGTTTTCTACGGTAGAGAAAGAGAGCTGTGAGAGACAGAGGACACGTGGCGGACGATGAGTAGCGGTGTCAGTGAGTGTTTGACACGTAAGGCTAGGCTTGTTTCAGTATGTGTCGTGGTTTATGGTGACGGCGAGGGTATAGGTCGATTGGATGGGTGGCCCACCAATGAATCAGCTTAAGCCTTGACGTTTATGATCTATTTGGCGGTTCAGGTGTTGTACCCGATTCTGGGGATCCGGAAATTAGAGGATCGTTCGATTCGAAACAGATATTATTGTGGACAAGGGCATCTGTACTCTAAAAAAGTCTAATCTGCGGTTTTGCTCAAAATTCTATCATAATTGTTAAACTAGCCCATTTGTCAATTGCTTTTTTTTTTTCTTTTTTTTTTAAATTAAAAAAAGATAACATGAGTAGTTATATTCCATAAAAGTATGACTTATTATCTGATTTTGTTTTTAATTTTAATTTTTTAATATTAAAAAAATATGAATTTACCATATTATTTTCGTTTAATTAATAATTTCAATTCTTAATCTTTGAATTAACCAAAGACATTTTCTGGTATTTTGAATGTTTTACTATTCTCTGCTTTTTGTTTTATATATACTAGCCTCTTGGCACATGCTCACGCATGTGCCAATTGGTTTTTATTTTTTAATTAAGAAAAGATAATATGGATAGTGTTATGTTCCATAAGAGTAGGAGTTATTATCTGATTTTGTTTTTAATTTTAATTTTTTAAATATAAAAAATATGAATTCACCATATTATCCTCATTTAATTCCTAATGTTTGAATTAACTAAGGGCATTTTATGGTATTTTGAATATTTCACCATTTTCTGCATTTTGCTTTATATATATAGATACAGATTATCTTTAAGGTTTGTTTTTTGGTAAATTAAGGACTTAAATTATATAAAAATGACTAATTTGGGACTCGCCATTAATTTTTTGGGGCAAATTCGTAATTTTGAAGGGAAAAAATTATTAAATAATAGAAAAAAAGTCAAAAACAAAAAAATTAATAAAAACCTAGCCCCTCCTGTATTGTACCCAACCCAAAAGCCTGTTCCCCACCTCCCCTCATCACCGTTCCCTCTCAACCCATCCATTTCTCTTTCTTTCTTTCTTTCTCTTTAGTGTCATTTTCAAAATTGAAAATCATTAAATTAAAAAAATTAAAAGAAGAATAAATAAGGAATTTTGGGTGCAAGGCCTTCGAGTGGGGCTGTGGGGATGGTATGTGGTTGAGCTAGGGAAGATGGTGGTTTGGGTGGTTACCCTTAACTTTTTTTTTTTGGTTGAACCAAAAAAAAAAAATCTTAAAAACTAACCAAGTGTTAGTCATGTGATCAAAATTTGGATAGACATCCAAAAAATTGATGGCAATTCCCGAATTGACCATTTTTATATAGTTTAGGTCCTTAATTTACTGAATAAAGAAAAAAGCTTTGGGGGAAAATTGACAATTATGCTATACTTCATAGGGCAAAACTACATATTACCCTTAAAAACATTAAGCAAACGTTTAGAGAAATAGTTTGGTTTCGTTTTAACATGAAAGGCAAAATTGTAGCAATGGTCCTTGGACTAAGACCAAACTTTACTTTCATCCCTCATATTGCTAAATTGTTACGGTGATACTTTAATGGGAGTTTCACTAAAACACCCAAAATGGAGGTTGAAATTATAAAAAAACCCAACACCCAAAACACTTTATAAACACACCCAAAACCCATCATTACACACACTCAAAACCCATTTATAAACACACCCAAAAAGTTGACTTTGGAGTTGATTTTGGGTGTGTTTCTATGTTTAAATAGTGCTTGGGTTTTTTTATAAATACATGTCTAGGATTGGGTTTATTTATAAATTTGTATACTTTAATTATGCCTTTACTTTCAGAAATCGTCATTTCCGTCAACTCAATCAACTTTTCCTTTAAAAATGAGGGCATATTTGTCTTTTCATTAATTTTAAATTGATTAAAATGTTAAAATTAAAAATCTATCCCTCTCTCTCTCTTTCTATCTCTCTCTCCCCACTGATTTCTTCTTCCCCCATTCCCTATGACCACCACCCGCCCCCATGAACCCCAACAACTACAGGAAAGAGAAAAAAAATTCATCCACTAAGGCTTGTGTTTTTTTTTAATTATATATATATTTCTTTTCTTTCCTTTGTTGTTTGGTTTTGTTGGAGGATTTGGGTCCGATGTGTGTTATCTCATCAATTCCACATCTAAAGGAGAAATTGGTGGGGTCTGATATGGGTTATCGGGTAGCAGAAGAAATTGGTGGGTAGAAGAAATCTGGGTGTGTGGGGGGGGTGGGGAGGGGGAGAGAGAAGCTCAGAACTTGTATATTGGTAATGCATTGATTGATATGTACGCTATTTGGTGAATTTGGAGATTGGAGTCATATTCATATATATGGAAGTTCAGAATTGCAACAAAAGGATACACAATTACATACTAGCAAGAAAATTTGCTAGGAATAGACAAATACGTATTTGGAGTTGAATAACAATTTAGTAAATATCTATAAGGCTTTGTTCCTTTTGTAATCTGCACATAAATTGAAAGACACATTAAGGCTCAACTCGGTGTTAGTGGTCCAGCTAAACTTGAGCCTAATCACCATATATTTTTCCACCTTGACCCAAATGAGCTTGTGGGCCCATTGGTCCATGAGCTTGGACTTCTTGTGCATAAGGTTAACATCAACCGAATTTATGTGGTTTTCACTCAAAGGAATCCTAGTCTTGGAAAAGCTAGGATGTTTCGAGATCACGAAGACGCCTATCTAAATGGAGTCATAGGCTAGGTTGTTCAGGAGTTGTACTCCGAGAAGGACTAGGTCGTTTGGGATGATATAAAAGGCTGAAAGGACCCATCGTCAAATGTATACAGTTCTAAGCATCAGAATCTATTGTGCAATTTGCTCTCAAACAATCGACTGACTTAAGCATTAGAAGGTCCTTGGCCGGCACCACACCGGTGTCACCCATCATTATTTTGTAGGTTCTAAAGGACAACTTGGTTGGTTACGCTGATCTAGTCCGGAAGAATTGCTAGACCTCGATCTCAAAAAGGTCATCTTTTGTTGAACCAAATATAAGCATCAACAGAAAGATGAACAAACTTTAATTAAATGATACAGTATGGAGTTTAAGAGAAAAACTCACGAGCAGTGAGAAAGTCTAATGCATGTCTATACCATGAAAATAGATAAAAGAGTGAAAAACTCTTAAGTTTTTAAGGATTTTTGTTAGAAGAGAAAATCCATTAATATTCCAAGAACAATTCAATAGGACCTGCACGTAAAACACAGACTCATTAAAACCTTCCAGGTAAAACCACACAAGAAACTCTGGGGAGGAAAAAGAGTGTCACACATGCATTGAACTACAAGAGAGTCAAAGAACGAAGACTAAATGAAATGCTGGTTCTTAGAAAAATAATCATTCCACAAATTTCTATGATCAACTCACTAATGATACCTAACTATTTGCGTAGGTTTTCAACCTCAATGCTTTTGTTAGCCTAATCTTCTTCATTCAGGCAGTGAGCTTATGATAAGATTGGCAATGGCGAATGAATGAATTAACATTTCCTCCTCGTCTTCCATCGCTTCCACCCAAATTTATTTTTCTCCTGGTTTGCTAGTTAATTAGGAAAACTTGATCATCATTTCCATTTGAAGTAAAAGATGGGAAAAACCATGACAAATAAGATGGGCCAACTTCAAAGTTGATTATTAAAATTGATGTGAAATTTTTTTAACAATTGAGTGAAAAATGGGATAATTGTCTTAGTTTCTATAAAGTCAAAAGATTATTGAAATAGTTCTGGGCTCTTAGCCCCTCTTGTTACCAAACAAAAAAAAAAAAAAAGAAAAAGATTATGAAATATATTTTGAGAGATAGAATGGAGATAGATAGAATAGTTGAAACTCACAATTTTTCCTTTTGAGTGATTTGCTCCAGCATATTAGTTGGAGATGGCCAAAGAAGATGGAATGCACATCTTGAAGCATAGTAATAAAGTATCACAATGTAATCTATGTAATTTATAGATGATATAGTGTTATGGAGCATGATTTCTTACTAGGAAAGATTTTTCCACAATACAGTATTGAACCTCGCATCATTCCCAAAGTTTGATGAGTTGAATTTTAAGGTATACATTGCATGAATTTAGTAAAGAGGAGGCCTAATTTGGGCAATCTAACATTTAACGTTGATCGAGAGTTGATTTGCCTTTTGCAAGTATCTAATTCTCATCCTTATTGATTGCGTACGAGATATATTTGAAGTTCTAGTACTGTATTTATGAGCAGAAATTCTTCCTATAAAAGTAATTTCAAACGAACTCGTAGCATCTTGTAGGGAATTCTACTCAAACAGTAAGTTGTACGAAGAAAGGAAGTTAATATGCTTGTTCTATACAATAAATGTGGAGCAAATAGTAGAGAGACGAATTGACAAGAGCAATAAATGTGGCCGTTTAACAAAGCTCAAAACGCGTGTCGTTGGTTCCCTACGACTCCACACCTGAGGGCTGAGGGAGCCAAGGGCATTGTCGTCCAACACACAAGTCACTAGGGCCCTAGCCGCCTAGAGCCCCCTCCTTCCTTCTGTGTCCAATGCCCATCACAGAAACCCAAGACGGAATTTTCCCAAAACAAATCCAAATTCCACGGCCACAGACTTCCCTTCTCAATTTTCCATTTCTCGTCAACCAGAGATCTCGCCTTCTCGCTCCACACCCGAGCCTACGCAACGCTCGCTCGCACAGAATCCACGCCCTCAACCTCAATTCAAACCCCTTCCTTCAATTCAAATAATTCCCAATCCTCCTAGGTTACGCTTACACGACGTAATGATTTGCATGTGAAAGTTTGTTGATTTTTTTTAATTTATCAATCTGAATTTTGCCGTAGAATGTCGGAAAAGCTGAGATTATGACATTTTCCCTGGAAAATAATGAGGGCAGGTTCTTTGTGGGCCGACGAGCCCAATGCTCCGTCTACCTCTGTGCCGCGCATTCCTCAGCCCCATCCATGCAAGCACAGGTAAATTTTAGAGTTTCTTTTTGGAATTTTGATAGGTTTTTTTATATTGGTTTTCGTGTAATTCAACTCCCCAATTGATGCTCTGTGAATAAGGTTTCTGGGAAAAATTTATTGTAGCTAATTCCATTCATGCTTTAATTAGCCCCAATCTAAATGGGATGTTTCAATTAATTAGCTATCATAATTGGTTAGAATTAAGGACAAAATTGTTGAAAATTGAGGAGTTACAAGTGTTTTTAAAGTAATTTTCTTGCCTCCAGAAGTGGATTTGGGTTTTGATTTTTTTAAATGATCAATATGTTAATTACCCACTGATAATTTTAAGGTGTGCCTGTTGGGCATTCTGGAGTCAAAACTGATTTGCATGTATATGATGTTTCTGGCAGTGTTAGCAATGTCCTTAGACTGTTAGCACGGAGAGAGGTTTCTCCTCAAACAAAAAACTCGTCAAAGAAACTATGGGGGGAAGCTTCCAAGTCTCATTCTGATTCTATTGGCTCAAGGTGCGAAGCAGCTAGAGATGCTAGACATGGCCTTGTCTCATGGTAATCAGCCCCCCTTCTTTTTAGTTGCTCTTTTGTAATGTTCATGCAATAAAAATAAAGCATACTGCCTTTTCCTTTGTTAGAATCATTATGCATTTAGTTGATCTTTCTGTTTGTGTCTTGAAACTGGGTTGACTATAGGGTGGAGGCAGAGTCACTACAGCATTTGTCTGCCAGATATTGTCCGCTTGTGCCTCCTCCACGGTCAACTATTGCAGCAGCCTTCAGCCCCGATGGAAAGACACTGGCTTCTACTCAGTAAGTTCTGCTTTGTGTATATATTTTTCACTGTGGTACAAGGGTTTGGCTAAAGCGTAGGGTTGAGTTATATTTATTCCAAGAAATGTATCATTTTATCAATTTGCAATATGCAACTGTAACTGCAGCGGAGACCATACTGTAAAGATTATTGATTGCCGAACTGGGATCTGCTTAAAGGTGTTGAGCGGTCACCGTAGGACACCTTGGGTGGTAAGCCTAAAGCTCCCTTTATTTGACTTTATTTATCTATTATTCTTGGTGAGAATAAGTGACTTTGAATGATTATTAGCTTCTTGCTTCAGCCATCTGCAAGATGTTGTGAACTATATATTAAACAGACATGGTAGAGGTTTAGTGACACATTGAAGCTTCTTTTTCATCCATATTCTGTTTTATGAGATACCCATCTATGTTTATGAGGTCAAAATCCTCTTCAAATTTTATGCTTTGATAAAAAGTCTTTTGGTTACTTTATCCAAATCTGTTTAGGGTGTTTCCACTTAAATCTAGCTATTTTATTCAGAAACAAATTTACTGGTTAGCAGATCTGACAATTCAGCATAGCTACTGGATTCATCTCGTTAGCTGGCTGTGTTTTTCTTATTAGCTTGTTGTGCTTTTCTTATTAGCTGGTTGTGCTTTCGCAGGTTAGGTTTCATCCTTTGCATCCAGACATTTTGGCTAGTGGAAGTTTGGATCATGAAGTTCGCTTGTGGGATGCAAACACGGCAGAGTGTATAGGATCGCGTGATTTTTGTAAGTATCTATGTGGATTATCATTCATAGTGATTTACAAACAATGAATTCTTATATGATTAAATTTGTGTCATGGATATGATTGTTAGTGTGTTTTCCTCCACACAGTGCGTCCCATTGCTTCGATAGCTTTTCATGCCCAAGGTGAGCTTCTTGCTGTTGCGTCAGGTCACAAGGTAAGAGCATTTAGTTGGAAATTTGACATAATTATTTTTATTTTCATTAATGGACTTAACCTTTTAAATCTTGCATTAGTTATACATATGGCACTACAATAAGAGAGGGGAGACATCCTCACCAACCATAGTACTGAAAACACGACGTTCACTTCGGGCTGTGCATTTTCACCCACATGCAGCTCCGTTTCTTTTAACTGCTGAGGTAATTTTTTGTGGAGTCATATTATTCTGTTTCTATGATCAACTGTCTTTTAAGTCTGCCATTTTTCTGTTTTATAGGTCAATGACCTTGACTCATCAGATTCCTCGATGACACTTGCAACTTCTCCGGGTTACCTGCGCTATCCTCCACCTACTGTATATTTGGCAGATGCTCACTCTAGTGATCGTTCTGGTTTGGCAGATGGACTACCTCTTATGTCTCTACCATTTCTGATATGGCCTTCATTTGCTAGAGATAATGGGAGAATATCTATGCAGCGTAGTGATCTGGACAATGGTTCAAGTAGCGCACAACAAAGAGTTGATCCTTCAGCTTCAGTGCGGCTTCTAACATATTCAACTCCTTCAGGGCAGTATGAACTTCTGTTGTCCCCAATTGAACCTAATAGCTCTTCTCCAGCGCCAGAAGACACAGGAACTAATCCTTTCTTGAGTGAAATGGAAACTGAAGTTTCTCAACCTGCAATGGACAGTTTGGAGCCTATGGAAGTTCAACCAGAAGGGAGAAGTAGTCATATTTTCCCATTTGGTGACTCAACATATTGGGAACTTCCTTTCTTGCAAGGTTGGTTAATTGGTCAGACCCAAGCTAGCCAACGGAATATGCGGCTGGTAGGTGATGCTGCACATGATAATCCATCTGCACATGGTGAGATGGATAATACAGCTCCCTTAACTTCCTCAGTAATACCGACCAGTGTGAATCAATCCAGGGGTACTGGAAGATCTAGTTCCCGGCATCGTACTTCACGTACTCATATGGTGCCAACGATTGGGTCTAATGAAGGTGCTGGATTCAATAATATCACACACAGTGAAAGTGAGCCTCAACCTGTTGTGAACAGAATCCAATCTGAACTTGCAAACTCATTTGCTGCAGCAGCAGCTGCAGAGTTACCTTGCACTGTGAAGCTCAGAATTTGGCCACATGATGTGAAAAATCCTTGTGCTCCCCTTGATGCAGAAAGATGTCGCTTAATCATTCCACATGCCGTACTTTGTAGGTAATTTTCTTTCTGTTTTCAATTTTCATGACATGTTATTGTTTTATCAACTTTAGACATTGCTTTGAGCTTATTTTTAAGTCTTGTAAGCAAGTACGAAGGATGCAACATCAACTGGTAGTTTGTTTTTACTGAATTTGCATTTTTACGCAAACAAATACTTCAACTTGATTAGTTGATGCTCATGAAGTGTTTAGGTATTTTTTCTTTTTAGCATTGCATGACAGTTTGGACTTTGATAGTATTATTACTGGCTATATCTTTTTTGGATCTTTACTTGTGAATTTGTTGCAGTGAAATGGGTGCCCATTTTTCCCCTTGTGGAAAGTTTTTAGCCGCTTGTGTTGCATGTATGTTGCCCCATATGGAAGCTGATCCTGGATTACAGAGCCAGGTCAACAATGATGTCACAGGGGCAGCAACTTCTCCAACTCGACATCCAATTTCAGCTCACCATGTCGTATATGAGCTCCGGATATATTCCCTTGAGGAGGCAACGTAAGTTTGAACTCCCTATAAATATGCGTTCTATTTTCTTACCTCTTTAACTTTCCATATGAATTTTCTTTCTTTCTATGTCCTGATGTTCATTCTATTTATCTAGATTTGGCAAGGTTCTTGCATCCCGGGCAATAAGAGCTGCCCATTGCTTGACATCTATTCAGGTCAGCTGCATTTTGGATATGTATACACTTATAATTTCATGTTGATCACTAGTTTCTCATTGATCATTCCAACTATAACCCTCCGTTTGGATGAAGGAATTGAAAATTACATAGAATTCTAAAATGACAGAATTTAGATTTCCATAATTTCAATTTCTGGCAATTGAAGATTTCAGTGTTTGGATTTATGTATGTCAATTTTGTAAATGGCACTATGGAAATTGTGAAAGACGCCTATTTTAGTGGAAATTAAACTCAGGAATTTGATGCCCCAATTTCCACGATTTATTCTGTGCATCATTTATGTGCAAAAGATTCATGAACTAATCATTTGAAGTTCTAAACATTTTTTTATATTGTTTAAAAAAAAAAATTCAAGAAAAGCTTTGTACTTTCATCAGACACTTACTAAAGGTTTTTCATCCTGGAATTTACCATGGCAGTTCTCTCCTACATCAGAGCATATATTACTTGCCTATGGCCGTCGTCACAGTTCACTTCTTAAGAGTGTTGTCATTGACGGGGAGACAACAGTGCCTATTTACACCATTCTGGAGGTAAGAGTTTTTAGTTCTTTTTTCCCTCCTTTCTTAATTGTTTTGCCTGCGATCGAGTGTCAAAGTTTCATTTTGATCAGGTGCTTCAATCAATCTGGAAAAGTCACATGTAGAAATTTGCATGAAAATTAATCTACTTATAATAAGGATGATAATATAAAATTTTTATTAATTATGATTGAGGCTAATCTATGTAACCTAAGTTAGATTACACTAGCCTTAGAATGCAGTAAATGTCGGTGTAAACTAAAAGTCATTTTGGAGCTGAATAATTATTTGTGTATGAAATAGATTTTTATCAACTTTATTTAAAGTTTCCTGGTAATTATGCCTTGTAGTTATACTATAAGATTCAATTGCTATGCATGATATATACGTTAATGTTAGTGTTGTTTCTGGTTGTCCTCTACTGTAATTGACAGCGGTATTAGGTAGGTATAGGGTGAATTTTGGCATGAATCTATTTTAAATGTTCATGTAACAATCATATTTATTATTCAGGTCTATAGAGTTTCTGATATGGAACTTGTGAGAGTTCTTCCTAGTGCGGAGGATGAAGTCAATGTCGCTTGCTTTCATCCTTCAGTTGGAGGTGGCCTTGTCTATGGAACTAAGGTAAGCAATTGGGATTCAGAAAGATTCTTTTAGTTTTCTTGTTCCTCAGCCAATTTCCAGAACTTACGAGTCGTGTTATGAGGTGCAGGAAGGGAAGTTACGGATCCTCCAATATGATAGTTCTCATGGAATGAGTCATACAACATCCGCTTTTCTTGACGAAAACATGCTTGAGGTATAAAAAGTCCTTAACAAAATTATGCCTTTCCTTCGTGTTTTTGTTTTCAAAGTTGCTTTACAAATCAAAATTAACTATTCATCCTTGACATGTTTAATTACTTTTCTCAACTGTTCATTCTTCTGTGTTTTGAAAGTTGTTCCTTTTTGTGCTGTACTGTCTATTCTAGTAATGTTTTTCTTCTACTGCAACTAAAAATTTCTGGTGCCTACCTTTGAGATATTTTAGGAACAAAATGTTAAAACTCTCAACATATTAATTTAAATTGGTTCTCTCCAGTATTTTTTATTTTACAGACTATTCCAAGAAAATTGAAATCAGTGCCAAACAAATAAAAAACTGGGAAAAACAAACTTTGCTAAATCTTTACCAAGGAAAAAGTGTGGAAAAAAGTTTATATGAGAGAAGTGCAACATAAGGTAGCACAGTTGTGTCCAGCTGTGTTGGACAATGATTTCGGTTCATTTACTTGAACCAAAAAAGAAAAAGAAAAAAATTCTTATTGAATTTTAACGTGACTTTAACATTATTACATGCTTCTTCATGGTACTCACGGTTTTGTTGTGTCAAACAAATCATTTGTGATTGTTACAACATTGTTGGATCTCTTGTGCATTTCGAGATTATAGTAGGGGCAGAGCAGTGATTTGGAATGTGATTTTGGTTTTGTAATAATATTTTGGTTACTAATATTACCAAAATCAATTATTGCAGGTCCCGACATATGCTTTGGAATGCTAGGAACTAGCCATCATTTCCCTCTTGTGAGACAAACCACTAAGCTTAGCTGGTTTGTTTCTCTTTTTGAAGATCTATTGCCTTTGGGTTTTGTTAAATTAATCTTATTGTGCTTTCGACATCATCGTTTTATGGTGATTTGTGGATAAGATTTGTAGTATTATGCCTCTAATATTATCCTTATTTTCTAGATGTTTTGCATAGTTGAGTAAACAGATGAATTTAATGCTTTTCTCTTGGTGTTTAAACTGTCAAATATTTGAACATAAAAGGCTAATTGGAGAGAGAAATAAGTCAGCTATAATTGTAGAGATAAATAGATAAACCTTAGCTTGAGTCCCTTTCCTTCTGAGGAAGTCCTAAGATTACATTTTGAAAATATAGTTTTTCCCCGAATAAAATTATTTGAGAGCAAATTGTCTTGATGTCTGCTGTATCCAACACAGCCATGGCCACCTTGTAGGAGTGTAGGTGCTTCATAGGTTTGTCCAGACGATTGCTTGATGTATAATTTTAGAAGGGTTGTCTACTTAATATTTCAAAATCTTGAAACATTGACTTTCACTTTTGCGTATGGTTATAAGCTATACTTGGTTGAACTGTGTTCATTTGATTTGAGTTTGCTGAATTATTTCAATTTATGTTTTTGTGATCCTCATTAGTTATTTGATCTGGTCTGCTGGCAGTACAGTGCAACTTATTTTCTTTTCCACCCAGTTTTTTTCATGTTTATTTATTTATCATTCGACTAGAGGAAGTATAAGCATGCTCTGTTGTTGCCACTCTTTGTGGCCCTTAAACTAGGCGACCCCTAGTTACGGTACCTAGGTAAAGCATTAATGAGTCAGATCATATGCGACTAAACCAAGGCAGAAATAACCACAACTAATTCACTAACCTTCAACTTGGGTCAGCTTCAGTTAAGTAGTTTGGTGTGGAGGAACAGCAGATGGCGAGCACAGAGCAGTGCTTATGCATACTGCCTCTAGAGAAACATACAGAAGCATGGGAAATAACTCAAGTGCTTAAGATATTAGTTTATGTTTTAATGGCTCTGATTTCTTTGGTGAAAAACGTACGACGATCCTATGTTTTCTTTTCAGGGTGGAATCACGGTGCGCACATGAAGTTGAAGCTTGTATCGAATTACACAGATCAATTTACCTATAACAGTTAACCTTGTACCTGACTGTTGTTTCTTCAGTCAAATGCCTGTGAAATGCTCCATTCAGAATCAAAATACAACTCTATAATTTTTCCTTTATTGTTTTTTTTGGTCTACACCACTAGGGAATTTAATTTAACAAGGAAAACTGATAAGTAAGATGGAGCAAAACATGTCAAAGACCATGTTATTGTATATGCTTGTTCAGGTTCCATTGGACATTGTTATTAGGAATGTAATTTCTTCTCTCTTTTTTTCATTTTTTTTTCTTTATCCCTTTTTGTCTTGAACAAGGCAATATGTTTTTAGGCCCCTATATGTAGGCCTTAATTGTAAAAAAGGAAAAAAAAAGGGTTTCTCTCTTGGTTGTTGGCCTCCAGTTATGTATAATTATTTGATGTAACACTAGTTGCCCAGATGATTTTATGCGAATGGTGAACGTTGCCAGTCTCTTGGTTTATTTCATCTTAAAAATCAATCACAAAAACAACATTTGATTTATTTCATCAATTTTTGACCAACTGCAGTGGTACAGAATGCAAGACTTGTACCAATAATGTTTGTTCTGTAAGGGCTAAAATTACTTAACCAAAAGTCCTGCTGATAGTGTTTGACCAAAAAATTTAAAATTGCTTCTAATTCACACAAGTGCTAGGTGCTTCTCCATATAGTACTTCCAATTGCTTTTTTAAAAAGCACTTAAATTTATAACAAAAAATTCAACATATTTTGGAAGAAAAAATAAATAAAACTGAGTATAAGTACTTCCTAAAGAAGCATTCCCAATGAGTGACTGAAGCACGTAATAACAAAACAAAATATGTAACACTGAAATGACCAATAGGTAAACTTATAACAAGCTTTTCCACTTGCTCTCTGACATCATTACTAATCTCCATGCCAATTTGATGGGCACATTTTATATCTTAATTTATATTCCTAAAATATATTTATTAGTCCTTTTCATTTGATAAATTCAGTTTGTTTTGATGAAATTTAAGGCTAGAATTGGTGCCCATGTGGGGAATAGGCAGTTGCAGGCTTGTAAAAGAGAATAAAGCAGGGACAAGAGGACGATAACGCAGGGATTGGCATCACAAAAGGGAAGTGCGATTTACTTGGTGATGGGCAGGCAGGGCATAAAAATTGAATAAACAAGTGAAGTGAAACGGCTGCCCATCTACTAGCTTTGATCTCCAGCCTATAAATAGTGTTGCGGCATTGTTCAAAACCACCTCCGGGCGGGAGCTCCCAACTTCTCAAGAGCTCTCTCTCCCTTCTCACTTGTTCTTCGAACTCTGTCATTTTCTTTACATTGCTCTTGACACCCGGACTTCCGAGTTTACAATGGTCAACCTATTGCAATTAATTTCATAAGGTTATTATTATTATTATTATTTCCATTTTCTTTGAAAGAAAAAGCAAAAGTTGGCTATACTCACTAAAGGCTAGGTCTATAGGTTCTTGGGCAGAGATGACTCATACATTTTCCAATAAATATTTTCCTAATCATAAGACAATTGTTCTGAAGAAAAGAAAAGTGGGGGGGGGGGGGGGGGGGGGGGGGGGGGGGGGTTTTCTCAATTGTTTTCTAAACCACCCGATAGTGGATACACCCGTGTCATTTTCTTTTTGAGAAAAAAATGAGATTCTTTTCTTGAGAATAATTGTCTTATGATTAGGAAAGTATTTATTGAAAAATGTCTGGGTCATCTATGCCCAAGAACCTATAGACCTAGCCCTTATGAGTATAGCCAACTTTTTTGTCTTTCTTTCAAAGAAAATGGAAAAAATAAAAATAAAAAAAACCTTGTGAAATTAATTGCAATAGGTTGACCATTGTAAAAGGGGCTTATAGCTTCTTCAAATTCTCTAAGGAGTTTCATTTTCCATGCCATGAAAATAGGTACATTGAATCATTCCATGTTTAAACTGATATGCGGGCATGTTAGGTGGAAACATGATACATGAAGGATTGGGTGCACGACTAGGATGCAAATAAGTCTCTAATAAAGTTCTAGGTGGAGCTACTTCTTCATTATTAACAACCTCAAGCTCGTTAACATTTTCTGCCATGAAGAACAACAAGATATATCATCGACAAGACAATTAAAGACATTCTCATACACATTTAGCATCTAGCGTTTCTTTAATATAGTACTTGATTTACAAAGTTTTCCAAGTTTGAGGATGAAGAACCATGTGGACTAGCGGCTTCTTCTGCCAGTTTCTTCCACTCCATGACCTTGTTTTTCATTTGCTTACCTTTCTCTCCTTTCATTAACTCTCTAACAAGCTTTTCCACCTGGTCTCTCTTGACATCATTACTAATCTCCATGCCAATTCCCCACACATTACAAACACAGTAACAATTTGTTTGCTGGTCCGTAAAGACAGGGCAAGGAGAGCATAGGCACTCCTGCACATAGGCTCTCAATGGTTGAATTCCAACCACTATGTGTTAAAAATCCTCCAACTGATGAGTGCTCAAGGACTTGCTCTTGTGGGCACCAACTTGCTATAAGGCCTCTTTCCTTAGTTTCAGCCTCAAACTCGGGTGGAAAAATTGCCGATTTACCAACAACCAGATCAGGCCTAATTACCCAAAAGAAGGGAAGCTTGCTGTTTGCCAGTCCCCAACCAAACTCCACAACTTGTTCCGGTGTTAAGACCGCCAAACTTCCAAAATTGACATAAACAACAGAGTTCGGTTCTTTAGAATTTAGCCATTTGATGCACTCGGTTTCTTCCTTCCATAGACTATATCCCATGTCCTTCAAAGGGTACTCCGGTATCTGGTTAAGAAGTAGTTGGAGAGGGCCAATTGCATAAACAAGTGGAAACATGGATGAGAGAGCATCCAAAACTTCTTGCTCCAATGCATTAAATGTATGAAGAACAATTGCTGAACCTTTATCGAATTTTGTGATTGCTTCAATGGTGAAGATCCAAGATATGGCATTGGGATCTGTTGTAATAAAGTTGTTTGGGAGATCCCTTAACCTGATATCTTTCATTGCTGGAATCCAATCTATGATCTTGTCCAGAAAACCATTTGTTAAGAAGATTTCATCTGCAAATACCCAAGTGAAGAAAAGAAAGCTTTTATTCACTATTGGTTCAATGACTTTTTCTGTCACATGTCCTCAACAATAATGAGAAGAAGAAAAAAAAACACAAAATTTCCAATCAAATTTGGAAGTTGTACTTGTAATACAGTTTGATTTGGTACTTGTAGTTTTAATAAGTTCGGTTTGGTATCTATTATTATAGTTCATGTACTAAGTTAGGACACATGTTAAAATTCAAGTACCAAAAAACAAAAGTAAAAAAGCCAAGAAAATCTTCATTTGTTTACCTTTGAGAGGGGCAAGTCCTTTTTCCACCAAAGTGGGAAACTGTGTAAATCCCATGAAGCTGCTTGCAGAAATAGTGAAGAAGAGCACCACAGGAATTCCGATTTCTTCAGCTGCTGTGATGGCGAAGGCCATCCAACCATCCGAAACGATGTGAGACACTGGAGGAATGTTGGCCGTATGATTGAGTTTCTTGAGGAGGCCATGAAATGGAGCTAGAAATTTTTTTCTGACTGAGTCAGCAAGCAAAAGAAGGTCTTGAGTGGTATCTTCATCTGAGCTGTGAAGGCTATCTGGTATGGTTTTGAATCGAAAACCAGGCAAGCCGTCGAGGGAATTGGACCCTAGAGACTTAAGGAACCTCTTGTGATTGAACTCTGTGTTGACAAAGGTTATATGAACACCTCTATGGTGGAGGAGTTTTGCAAACTTAAGCATTCCTTTTATATGGCTTTGAACTGGAAAAGGAATGCAAACAACATGAGGCCTGTTAGCTACTTCCTTAGAACCCATCTCTCAATATTTGTTGTGTGTATTTTTCTGTGTGTTTTGCACTCTCAGAAATGCACTGTTTTTATAGGGTTGGCAACAATTTTTTGTTTTGTTTTTGTGTGGCTGTATCATGACAATGAGTCCTACAAAGGAGTCAGGCATATGCAATTGAAAATGAAAATTATTAAAATGATTGGTGCAGTTTTATATTACATTGTTATATATGATATATTTTTGTATGGCTGTTTAAATTAAAAGACGAATAGGAGAGGGTTTATGCAACAAGCAGTCTGAGACAGAGCTGTCTTTGCTATGCAGACGGAGCTTTTGTTGCAGTAACTTTGGAGGGCATGGATCCAAGGTGACACCAAATTTGTGTCCAAACGAAAACAGTCAAACTTTGTAGTGTCCAAATGATTGGAACTATGTCTAGTCCAATCCCATAGGCTAGTATCACCATTGGGACTTATTTCCTCTAATATGTGGAATTGTCGTCCAAATCCAGCCTCATTTTATAGCATGGGACATGAATAACATTACTTGAGGGATCCCTCAATCAAAACAGGACTCAATACATATAATTATTTATCACGATGTTAATGTCTTGTCTTTGGTTCGAATGTGTCTGCCAGTTGCCTAACCCTCTTCTTCAGTCCTTCAGTCGTCATCCAGCACGATACACAACTGATATCCCCCCAACAATCGAAGTTATATAAACACTTCTTGTGGTATTCTTTTCTTTTCTTTTCTTGTTTGGTATGATACGTATTCTTGTGAAATAACTAATAAATTTCTTATATATGTTATAGTAGTAATTTAAATGGGGGATTCACAACAAGGAAATAACAAAGGAAAGGGCAAAGAGAAAGATAACTATGAATCTTGGACCATGGACGATACCAATGAGTTGTTGCACCTCTTGGTGGATGCTATCAATAGTGGATTGCGTGATGCTAATGGGTCACTTAGCAAGCAAAATGTAGAAAAAGTGATACTTCCTCATCTTAATGCAAAAATTAGGTTTCCAAAAACTTATAATCATTACTTGAGCCGAATGAAGTGGTTTAAGAAGCAATATAACAAGATGTCTACGCTTATGCGTAACAACTCTGGCTTTGGGTGGGACCCAATTCCAAAGACGTTCACTGCTAGTGATGAAGTATGGAAAGATTACTTGAAGGTGAGCTTAGTTCATAATCTTTCAAATATATTAATAGCTTACTAGTTTAGTACAATTTGTTATTTGCAATATATTAACAATGAATAATTTGTTCTTTGCTAGTCTCACCAAGTCACAGTAAACTTCAAGAAAAAAGTGTAGTTAATTATGAGGATTTGAAAATTGTTGTTGGGGGTTGAACTGCTACTGGGAATGGCTCCATTGCATTGGGCGCTGATGATACTGATGCAACAACTTATAGGGAAGAAAATAGAGATTTCGGGATAGAAGACTTTTCATATGATCCTAACAATGATGCGTTCATATGTTGAATTGTTGTCCAATTTAATGAATCCAGCCTCATTTTATAGCATGGGACATGAATAACATTACTTGAGGGATCCCTCAATCAAAACGGGACTCAATACATATAATTATTTATCATGATGTTAATGTCCTGTCTTTGGTTCGAATGTGTCTGCCAGTTGCCTAACCCCCTTCTTCAGTCCAGTCCTCATCCAGCACGATACACAACTGATATCCTCCCACAATCGAAGTTATATAAACACTTCTTGTGGTCTCAATTTGTACAAGCAACTGTGACCAAACTTCATTTCCTATTCAAGATTAATTGGACATCAAATCAGAGGAATTTCTTTATGCATGATACACATATAGATTGTACCCCACAAATCATAAATACAAAATTACCTTGGACACGTTTTCTCGTAATTTAATTTCAAGAAAATTTTATTAAAAGTTTTGAAGAACAAGAAGATATATCATCGACAAGATAATTAAAGACATTCCATAACACGTAACATTTAGCTTTACCTTAATAGCACTTGATTCACAAAGTTGTCTAAATTTGCAGATGAAGAACCATGTGGACTAGCGGCTTCTTCTGCCAGTTTCTTCCACTCCATGACCTTGTTTTTCATTTGCTTACCTTTCACTCCCCCCATTAACTCTTTAACAAGCTTTTCCACTTGGTCTCTCTTGGCATCTTTACTAATCTCTATGCCAATTCCCCACACATTACAAACACAATGACAATTTGTTTGCTGGTCAGTAAAGATTGGCAAGGAGAGCATAGGCACACCAGCACATAGGCTCTCAATGGTTGAATTCCAACCACTATGTGTTAAAAATCCTCCAACTGATGAGTGCTCAAGGACTTGCTCTTGTGGGCACCAACTTGCTATAAGGCCTCTTTCCTTAGTTTCAGCCTCAAACTCGGGTGGAAAAATCCCCGATTTACCAACAACCAGATCAGGCCTAATTACCCAAAAGAAGGGAAGCTTGCTGTTTGCCAGTCCCCAACCAAACTCCACAAGTTGTTCCGGTGTTAAGACCGCTAAACTTCCAAAATTGACGTAAACAACAGAGTTTGGTTCTTTAGAATTTAGCCATTTGAGCCACTCAGTTTCTTCTTTCCACAGACTATATCCCATAGCCTTCAAAGGATGCTCTGGTATCTGGTTAAGAAGTGACTGGAGAGGGCCAATTGCATAAACAAGTGGAAACATGGATGAGAGAGCATCCAAAACTTCTTTCTCCAATGCATCAAAACTATGAAGAACAATTGCTGAACCTTTACCAAATCTTTGGATTGCTTCCAAGCAGAAGATCCAAGATGCTTCGGCGGGGTCTGTGGTAATAAAGTTGTTTGGGATATCCCTTAACCTGATACCTTTCATAGCTGGAACCCAATCTATGACATTGTCAAGAAAGCCATTTGTTAACCAGGTTTCATCTGCAAATACCCAAGTCAAGAAAAGTAAGCTTTTATATGTACCTCACATGTCCTCAACAATAACGAGAAAAAAGACAAGGTTTCCAATAGAATTTGTAAGTTGTTGAAATAAAGTTTGATTTGGTACTTATACTTGTCGTTTTAATAAAGTTTGTTGGAATAATATCTCTTTTGTTTTACCTTTGAGTGGAGCAAGTCCCTTTTCCAGCAAAGTAGGAAACTGATTAAATCCCATGACGCCGCTTGCAGACATAGTGAAGAAGAGTACAACAGGGATTCCAATTTCTTCCGCTGCTGTGATGGTGAAGCTCATCCAACCATCCGAAACGATGTGAGACACCGGAGGAATATTGGCCGTGCCATTGAGTTTCATGAGGAGGTCACGAAATGGAGCCGGCAAATTATTCGTGACTGACTCACCAAGCAAACGAATGTATTGAGTGGTATCTTCTTCTGAGCTTGGAATGCCATCTGGTATGGTTTCGAATCGAAAACTAGGCAAGCCGTCGAGGGAATTGGGTCCAAGAGACTTGAGGAAGCGCTTGTGAATGTACTCTGTGTTGACAAAGGTGATATGGAAACCTCTGTGGTGGAGGAGTTTTGCAAACTTAAGCATTCCCTTTACATGGCTTTGAACTGGAAGAGGAATGCAAACAACATGAGGCTTGCTGTTGGCTACTGCTTCCTTGGAACCCATCTCCACTCTAAATATTTGTTTTGTGTATTTTGTGTATGTGTTTGCACTCTCGGAAATAAAGAGTTTTATAGGGTTGGCAACATCTTTCGTGTGGCTATATGCAATTGAAAATGAAAATTGTTATTATCATGAGGTTTTTTCCCCGCTGAGCCGCCGAAGACTAATTTAGATAATGACAAGAATGGCGTCTTGAGGCATAGATTTGTTCCGTGTAGTATCTTTTGAGTTTGGGCTTTGCCCCCTGTATTATCAAAACAATTAAAATAAATAAATTCTTTTTTTAAGGCTGTCTACATTAAAATGAGAGAGTCTGAGACGGAGCTGTCTTTGTTATGAGTCCACAATGTGTTTCTTAAATAAAATAAATTGAGGGTTCCCATAATCAAAGTCAAATTAATAATTCTCGTGCATATAGTACATATAGATAGATTGAATTCGACAAATCATTACAAATTTACTTTGTACATGTTTTTCTTGTTATTTATATTCAAGAAAATCGTGTCAGCATAGACAACACCATTTGAGTAAAAGCTTGTTCATCGACAAGACAATTGAAGACATTCCCATAGATAAATTAACATCTAGTTTTTCTTAATAGCACTTGATTCACAAAATTGTCCAAGTTTAAGGATGAGGAACCATGTGGACTAGTGGCTTCTTCTGCTAGTTTCTTCCACTGCATGACCTTGTTTTTCATTTGCTTACCTTTCTCTCCCTCCATTAACTCTTTAACAAGCTTCTCCACTTGCTCTCTCTTGACATCTTTACCAATCTCCATTCCAATATCCCATTCATTACAGGCATAGTAACAGTTTGTTGGCTGGTCAGTAGAGCATGGCCAGCACAGCATAGGCACACCTGCACATAGACTCTCAATGGTTGAACTCCAACCGCTATGTGTCAAAAACCCTCCAACTGATGAATGCTTAAGGACTTGCTCTTGTGGACACCAACTTGCTATTAGACCTCTTTCCTTAGTTTCATCCACAAACTCAGGCGGCAAAATTGCCGACTCGCCAACAACGAGATCAGGTCTAATTACCCAAAAGAATGGAAGCTTGCTAGTTGCTAGTCCCCAACCAAACTCTACAAGCTGTTCGGGTGTTATGACAGCTGAGCTGCCAAAACTCACATAAACAACTGAATTTGGGGCCTTAGAATCTAGCCATTTGAGGCTCTGAGTTTCTTCTTTCCATAGGCTATATCCCATGGCATTCAAAGGGTTCTCTGGTATCTGATTGAGAAGTAATTGGAGAGGGCCAATTGCATAAACAAGTGGAAGCATGGATGAGAGAGCATCCAAAACATCTTGCTCCAATGCATCAAAAGTATGAAGAACACTGCTGAAGCTTTATCAACCCTTCTCATTACTTCCAAGCAGTAATTCCAGAAGATATCATTTGGATTTGTGGTCATAAAGTTGTGTGGGAGATCCCGTAACCGGATGCCGTTCATTCCTGGAATCCAATCTATCACCTTGTCCAGAAAGCCATTTGTTAAGCAGCTCTCATCTACAATAATGCCCCACAGGTGAAGAAATTTTTTATTTGTTAAGAATCTAAAATTTAATAAAGCTAACAAAAAAAATAGGTAAATGTTTGAGTAATATACACCTTTGAGTAGCAAGTCCTTTTTCAAGCAAAGTGGGATATTGTTTATACCCCATGAAGCTGCTTGCAGAAATACTAAACATAAGTACTACAGGGATTCCAATTTCTTCTGCTGCTGTGATCGCGAACGTCATCAAACCATCCGAAAGGATGTGAGTCACCGGAGGATTGTCAAGAGTTGCTGTGTGATTCAGTTTTCTGAGGAGGTCTCGAAATGGAGCCAGTAAATTATTTATGATTGACTCACCAAGCAAGAGCTGGTCTTGAGTGATATCTTCATCTGAACTTGGAAGGCCATCTGGTATGGTTTCGAATCTGAAACTAGGCAAGCCGTCGAGGGAGTTGGGTCCTAGAGACTTGAGGAACCTCTTGTGATTGAACTCTGTGTTGACAAAGGTGATATGCAAACCTCTATGGTGGAGGAGTTTTGCTAATTTGAGCATTGCCTTTGTATGGCTTTGAGCTGGAACTGGAATGCAAACAACATGTACTGGCTTATTGGCTACTTCCTTGGAACCCATTTTAGATTGTGTGTTTTTGTGTGTCTCCCACAAATGCATTGGTTTATAAGGTTGAAGAAAATTATAAAAATGGCTTCTGCAATGTGAAATGTTGTCTTGTATCGGAAATGTTGTCTATCCTATCACTTGTATTAAAAAAAAAAATCAACCACTCCAACTCTGTCTCCTCCAACACCCCTTACTTATTTTAAGTTTAGAGTTTGTAAATTCAAGTTAAATAATGCTAACGAAGCCAAATTTATGTAACAACAAGTCTCTGTTGAAGAACCATTTGTCACATAATTCATCTTAATTATTATTCTATTATCAATTAGTGAGGAGAATCTAACTTGACATAAATTTTAATTAAAGTTGATATGATTTGTTGATATGTTTTGCAACCAGCGCCTTGTAGTGGCAAGTGGCATTAGCACATGTCATCCTTGGCCTGAATTATTCAGATTCTATCTCAATGTTGTTTTGTTGTAGGATGGTCCAAAATAATAGTCCAATGGCATCTCTTATTATAAACATCGGGTGAAATAATAGATGTGCTATAAAATGAAGAAATAAGAAAATCATAGTATTCTAATAACACAGTTGGGTCACTTCTGTTGGGTTCTCCAATGATACATCATTCCATATCACATGTGCTTTTCCCTAGTTAAAGAACAAACGAAGGTAATTGAAAATTGGAGAAATCAACTATTGAAATAACAAAACTAAACTATTGAAAGAACGTTTTGCGGAGGATATTGAGGAAAAATTATGTTAAATTAGGTATGAGGTTTTATCACAAAAAGTCTCGTTATATTAGTAAAGAAACCATTCATTATATAGTGTATTTTATTTTGTCAAGGTTACGATATGAAACTTTATATTCTTCAACAAATTAGACCGACGTGCACTCAAAGACAGAAAACTACATTCACAACAAGTTTGGGCTCCAAGCTACGATTTGGGCCAATGACTTGCCCGTTTAGCTTTTCTTTTTTTCTAAAAAAAAAAAAAAAAAAAAAATAAAAATACAAGTGATAGGTAAACTACAAAGAAGAGTGAGAATTTCTCACACACACTACCAAGGTGCCATGAAGGTTCAAACCTGAGACCTACTAATTTGCAAGTCAATGCCCACTTTCATTGAGCTAGACCCCTTTGACTCCCGTCTAGCTTTTCTTAATAGCACTTGATGCACAAAATTGTCCAAGTTTGAGGATGAGGAACCATATGGGCTAGAGGCTTCTTCTGCTTGTTTCTTCCACTCCATGACCTTGTTTTTCATTTGCTTACCTTTCTCTCCCTCCATTAACTCTTTAACAAGCTTCTCCACATGCTCCCTCTTAACATCATTACAAATCTCCATGCCAATACCCCATTCATTACAAGTGTAGTAACAGTTTGTTGGCTGGTCACTAGAGCATGGCCAACACAACATAGGCACACCTGCACATAGACTCTCAATGGTTGAATTCCAACCGCTATGTGTTAAAAATCCTCCAACTGATGAGTGCTCAAGGACTTGTTCTTGTGGGCACCAACTTTCTATTAGTCCTCTTTCCTTAGTTTCATTCACAAACTCAGGTGGCAAAATTGATGATGCACCAACAACCAGGTCAGGCCTAATGACCCAAAAGAAGGGAAGCTTGCTATTTGCTAGTCCCCAACCAAACTCAACAAGCTGTTCGGGTGATATGAATGCCAAACTGCCAAAATTCACATAAATAACTGAATTTGGGGCCTTGGAATCTAGCCATTTGAGGCAGTCAGATTCTTCTTTCCATAGACTATATCCCATAATCTTCAAAGGGTGCTCTGGTATCTGATTAAGAAGTAATGGGAGAGGGCCAATTGCATAAACAAGTGGAAACATGGATGAGAGAGCATCCAAAACATCTTGCTCCAGTGCATCAAAACTATGAAGAACAACTGCTGAACCTTTATCAAATCTTCCAATTGCTTCCAAGCAGTTTGTCCAGGATTTCTCATTGGGATTTGTGGTTCTCAAGTTGTGTGGGAGATCCCTTAGACGAATACCTTTCATTCCCGGAATCCAATCTATCACCTTGTCCAGAAAGCCATTTGTTAAACAACTCTCATCTGCAAATACCCAAGTGAAGAAAAATTTCATCTGTTTAAAAACAGGAGAATTAATCTAAAAATTAAGAGGTAAGGGAGGCCTTATTATTAACATTCCAAAAAAGGTTGGAATTAAGCTACTCATATTTGAGTAATTTCACCTTTGAGTGGGGCAAGTCCTTTTTCAACCAAAGCTGGAAATTGTATGTAGCCCATCAAGCTGCATGCAGAAATAGTAAAGAAGAGTACAACAGGGATTCCAAGTTCTTCAGCTGCTGCCAGGGGGAACAACGTCATCCAACCATCCGAAACGATGTGTGTCACTGAAGGATCGCCTGCCGTGTGATTGAGTTTTGTGATGAGGTCCCGAAATGGAGCCAAGAAATTCTTTTTGATGGACTCTCCAAGCAATAACATGTCTTGTTGGGTATCTTCATCTGAACTTTGAAGGCCATCTGGTATGGTTTCGAATCGGAAACTAGGCACACCGTCGAGGGAGTTTGGCCCTAGAGACTTGAGAAGCCTTTTGTGATTGAACTCTGTGTTGACAAAGGTTACATGAACACCTCTATGGTGGAGGAGCTTTGCTAGTTGAAGCATTGCCTTCATATGGCTTTGAACTGGAAAAGGCATGCAAACAACATGAGGCTTATTGGCTACTTCCTTGGAGCTACTCATTTTGGACTTAGATTGTGCGTGTGTTTGTTAGTGGATCTGTATGTGTCTGCACTTTGCACAAATGCGTTGTTTTTATAGCCCTTATTGGACACTTCAATAAAATTAAGTTTAATTAAATAAAATTTTCGCTTTTCCTCATGTGCAATTCTTTATATATATATATATATATATATATATATATATATATATATTTATAAGTTTGAAGCCAGCATATATATAAAAAGTTTACAAAAATAATAGTCGTACTGTATTTGTATACCACCCTATATACCATCTTTAAAGAGGTGGTACACAAAGTGATATGCAAATGTGGTATGCGTAACATTGCTCATAGGTTTAATATTAATGTGAGGTCAAATTTGTATACTAAATTTAACTCACATATCACATTGCAAGTACCCTTATCATCAATTTTTATTGAATATTACTAGGGTCACCATACTTTGGTGAATAAATTTGGAGTCTCTTGCATTATTGATATTAATTTAACAATTTAATAATAATTAAAAAAAATAGTTTAACAACCATACCTTTGTTTATATATTTTCAAAACAGTGATTACGACGGGCTTATATAGTGGCAAATGGCAAGTGACAATGGCACAAGTCATCTTTGGCCTGTTCTATTCTATCTCAATGTTGGATGGTGACAGCATCAATAGCATCCCTTATTTTTTTAAAAGCTATAATTGTCGTTTTTATGTTTTATAGTGTGCGTAGACAAACGAGGAGAACTATAATTATTTCTAAATAACAATTAATGGATCACTTCTATTGGGTTCTCAAATGCTTTTCCTAGCTGAAGAACAAACTGACACTAGGTCAATTAAAAATCGGAGGAAATGAACTGTCAAAAGTAACAAAACTAACTAGCTTATTATGTACTGCATATGCGTTCCATATAAGAAGCTTTTGTTTGGCATCTTGTTCAGCAATCCGACCTTAGCTCAGTTGGTAGAGCGGAGGACTGTAGTCGGGTAAACCAATAGCCATCCTTAGGTCGCTGGTTCGAATCCGGCAGGTCGGATATTTTTTGCCAATTTTTTTAAATATATTTTTTTCGCAAACTTCTTTTTTAAATATATTTTTTTCGCAAACTTCTTTTTTAATTATATTTTTTTCGCAAACTTCTCCAAAGATCCATTTCTTTTGCCTTAAAACTTCTATTTTTGTTTTTTGGCCAAACTCAAATTTCTTTTTTTGTTTTTTGGCCAAACTCAAACTTCTTTTATATATATATACAACAAACTTGTTCAGACTTGTACTCCAAGTACGCTGCTTATCCGTTATTCCCCATTATATCGCTAGGGTTAACTTTTCTCCGCCGAATCTCTGAAATATAGGTTCAGCGAAGACCGTACATTCATGGCTGACAAAGTAGCCATTGGATCCAACAAAACAGAACATAACAGCAGAGCAAATTGGTCCCAACTCCCAATTGACCCTTTTCAATTGATCTTATTAAAACTGTCCGTACGAAACATAAAGCCGCTCGAAGCAGTTTGTCGTCCTTGGCTTAAGGCCATCAAATACGTCTCAGCGTCATCGCCGTCCTTCGCTTGCTTACCAGAGCCACCACGGCTCCTTCTTTTTCGAGACGAGGACAACGATGGCGGTCGCCTGTCTGGTTTTTACAGTCTTAAAGGCAATTTTTACAGCTTGATGAACATACCTAAAGAGTTAGGCGATGGATATACTATTTGCATCGGGTCCTCTCACGGCTGGCTGCTTTTCTTGACGAACAAGAAACGACTGCTGCTTTTAAATCCCGCATCTGCAGCGGCTCCGCTTCTTCTCCCACCACTCAATACTTTTCCGGATATAGATAGCATTATGTATCAATATCCTCCTATGGAAGATTCAGGAATTTTTCTCCTCAAGGGAACGTGTGGATACTGGCGAAAATGGATGTGCAAGGTTGTTCTGTCTTCGCCACCAACCTGCAACAACAAAAACAACATTGGGGTTTTGCTAATGTACAATGTCGGAGATGGGCGTAACCGTCTTGCTTTCTGCACGCCTGCAGATAACAAATGGACGAAGCTTGACGAACACGAACGGTACCTAGATGTTACGAGTGATTGCCATCGCTTTTATGCGTTACGCGAAGATTACAGTGTTGAAGTCTGGGGTTTCCCCAACTCCTCTGCCATCAAAAAGTTGGAAACTATCCCAGCTGGTGCGCCCATGGTAGCAAAGGTAGATTATGATTTCCAGCTTTACATGGACAAAACTGATGCCACTGATCTATTTTTGGTTAAAACTGGTGCAAGTGATCTGTTCTTGGTTGCGATGGTCGACTCTTCTGCCTGGGAAAGGGTTCGATTTGATGTTTATAAGCTCGAATATAATCCGGATGGTACATCTAGATGGAGAAGGGTGGACTCCATTGGCAAGTATGCAGTGGTTTTGGGTTCAAACCACTCCATATTAATCTCACCCCAGGAATTTGATCATGCTCCAGGATATCAGGAGAATTCCATCTACTTCCTCCATGCATCATCTTCTTTCAGCTATGATTTAATTGTCTATAATGTGAGAGAGAGAGAACCGAAAAAGGTCTGTTATCTGGGATTATTAAAGCAACCAGCTTACTGGATCGAACGTTATCCTTTAGCACTGTAGCTAGCTAGTGACTTGGGTGATTATTGTTACTTAATCTTTAAACATTATATTTTGTGGAAGCTTAACATATAATTTGGCTTTATTTATTTATAACTTTGTGCTCATGTCATTGGAATTGATCTCCCTTGTTTCAATATGTATTTATTTCTAAACATTTCTTCCTGTAAACGTATTTTCCTAGTGTCCTCTTCCTTCTTGTCTTTGATCATATTGCCCTTATCTTGTACATGTTAAACCTACAAAAATCGAGCACCTACGGTGCACCCCAGACCACCATAACTGAGCACCAGGAATGCACAGACGCCTGGTTACTGCATACAAAGCAAGACCTTGCATGGAAACAAAAGATATCAAATGTTGTGCATCATTGAATCATTACCATTGACTCAACAAAACCTTCACAAACCCACTTATCTTTTACTTTTCCTCGCTCTGCAAAAGCCCCAATTATTGCGAAGATAAACAATGAAATATAAAGAGGGAAAATCCCATTAACGCACATAAGCAACCAATTACCTCCCAAATAATGCAAACTTCTTCTCCAAATACACTATCATTTTATTCCGACTTCTTTTACCCTTAAACTTGTTCTCTGCTACATACACACGACAAGCTGCTTCTCCGTTATTAGTCAGTTTCGTTATTCTCCATTCTCTATAGGGTTCTCTTTTCTCTGAATATCCGAAATATTGGTTCAGCATCTGATCAAGGCCATACATCAATGGCTGACAAAACAAAACATACCAGAACAAGTTGGTCCCAACTTTCCAACTGAACTTTTTGGATTGATCTTATCAAAACTGTCCCCAGGAAACATACTGCGGCTCAAAGCAGTTTGTCGTCCATGGCTTAAGGCCATCAAATGCATCTCACAGTCATCGCCGTCCTTCACTTGCTTACCAGAGCCGCCGCGGCTCCTTGTTTTTCAAGACGAGGACAAAGATGTTAGCCGGTCTGGTTTTTACAGTCTTGAAGGCCAGTTTTACGACATGCCTAAACATTTATGCCATGGAGATAGTATTTGCATTGGGTCCTCTCACGGCTGGCTGCTTTTCTTGAGCCACAAGAAACAACTGCTGCTCTTGAATCCCGTATCTGCAGGGATCCAGCTTCTGCTCCCCCCACTCAATACTTTTCTGTATAGCACTGATCCAGAAATTATTCTCCGGAAGTCTGGGAGACTTAGGCGACGAAGGATGCCCAAGGTTGCTCTGTCTTGTCGACCAACCTGCGGCAACAAAAACAACATTGGGGTCTTGCTAATGTACAATTACAAAGATGGATGTAACTGTCTTGCCTGCAGATAACAATGACAAAGGTTGACGGGCAGAAACTGTACCTTGATGTTACGAGCGATGGCAATTGCTTCTATGCCTTAAACGTAGATTACAGCGTTGAGGTCTGGGAATTCACCAATTCCTTAATTCCCATAAAAAAGTTAGAAATTATTATTCCATCAGCTGGTGTGCCCTGGGAACTAAAAGGACATTCTTGGTTCCGAATACCCTGCATAGCCAAAACCTGGGGCAAGTGATCTGTTCTTGATTCAGAGGGTCAATTCTTTGAACCCCCAAGTGGTTCGACTCGATGTTTATAAGCTCGAATATAATAATTGGGATGGTACATGTGCATATGGATGGACAAAGGTAGAATCCATTGGCAACCATGCATTGGTTTTGGGATTGAATCAGTCCATATTAATCTCACCGCAGGAATTTGATCACGAGAACTCAATTTACTTCACCTATGCACCATCTTCTGACAGCTGTTTTTTAAGTGTGTATAATTTGAGAGGGAAAGAAATTGAAAAAGCCTGTGATCTTGGATTAACAGGGCTTGAACAGCCAGTTTACTGGTTTGAACCTAGTCCCTTAGCACTGTAGCTGGCTAGGCTAGTTAGGGACTAGGGTGATTATCGTTAGTTAACGTATTACAGTTTGGCTTTATTTTGTTAACTTTGTGCTCATGTTATGTATAAAATTAAGGGCAGATTTGTCATTTTGATATTTCTTTTTATGAAATCAACAATTTTGTGAAGGAATTTTAAGAAAAAGGGGTTTTGTGAAAGCAATTTTTACTAATCAGGAATTGAATTCCAATTATTGAGGATTCATGTGTTTACTTCACATCAATGAATTAAAAAGTAAGTGGGGCCTACACAAAATTAGGAATTGAATTCTTGATTTTTGAGGAATTCAAATTCTTGGGTGAGATGTGGTATTCTAATTTCTGGAGAACTAACCCATTAGGAATTCATCTTTTTTTTACCCATTATATCCTCATACGATTTTAAAATTTTAAAATTTGCCATCTACTTTACTTCAACAACGAGAGCACATACATTTTAGCAATTAGCACCACTCTTACCTCAATTCCATATGATTTAGTAAACAACTTCAATAGGAATCCATAATCTAATTCCCCTCAATCCAACTCCTCATCAATTCATTTATCGTCATTCAATTCCTTCTAATTTGATTACGAATTAGTAAACATGACAAAGACCTTAGAGAGTGTTTGAGTAATTTTTAAAACCTTGGTTTTGTGAAAACTCGAAAAAGCTAAGGGGTGTTAATCTATATATATATATAAAACAAAAGGCAAAGAGTGGTGAAACATTCAAAATACTAGAAAATGCTCTTAGTTAATTCAAACATTAAGAATTAAAATTAGGGAGTTTCACTAAAACACCCAAAATGGGGGTTGAAATTATAAAAAACCCAAGCACTATTTAAACATATAAACACACCCAAAACCCATCATTACGCACACTCAAAACCCATTTATAAACATACCCAAAAAGTTGACTTTGGGGTTGATTTTGGGTGTGTTTCTATGTTTAAATAGTACTTGGGTTTTTTTTATAAATACATGCCTAGGATTGGGTTTATTTATAAATTTGTATTAAAATTATTAATTAAATGATGATAATATGGTAAATTCATATTTTTTATATTAAAAAAATATAAATGAAAACAAAATCAGATAATAAATCCTACTTTATGGAACATAACTATCTATATTATCTTTTCTTAATTCTAAAAATAAAATAAAAAATAAAAAAGAACACCAATTGGCTAGTATAAATAACTCGTTTTCTTTTTGGGTGATTTTATTGGCACCCCATTAATTGCTCTTTACACCCCATACTAATTTTAAATATAAATAACTTATTTTACCCTTGTACACAATACCGTTAAGGACAAAAAAAATTAAAATTAAAATTAAAATTGCTCACTACACCCCACATATGTTCCTGCAATCCTAGTTAGACTTTTTTCTCAAACTATCATGTTCCTAAACCCTAAACCCAAGATTTATAAGTTTATACTGGTGAAAAAATATATTGTATTTATTCATGAAGGGTGAGATTGAAGTTAGAGACGCTTCGAATGAGGTACGAGTTTATTTTTTGGCGTTTTGCAAGTTTAGTATTTCATAACAGTCGCTGGTTGTGTTCAGCACATCAGTACCGAACGCGACAGATAATTTCGGTGGGATGCCACCGAAATGTTGCACCATTTTCGGTTGGATTTCACCGGTGAGAAACTTAATATTCGGTGGGGATCCACCGTAAGATAGAACGTAGTTCAGTGGTGTACTACTGAACTTTTACCCGAGTTTCAGTGGCATCCAACGGAAATTTATTTATTTTTTCAGTAACTTATTGCCGACCACAAATTTAATCCAAGTTATTTTGATCTTACTCCCATTGAAGGAACAAAATCAAGGTGACGCCCCTACTGAAGGCAACAATGTGGGAACAGAATGTGTAATGGACTATAGTGATCAATTCACAACTTATTCGGTAATTATTTGTCTGAAATCCTTTTTAGTATCATTAACGTGGCATTAATGTTTCAAATTTTATATTTAAATAATATGAGTTTTATGTGTAGATATTCAATGGTAGAGATGCATTACTTCGATGGGCTCGTGAACAAGGAAAATTGAATAATATTGTCATTGTAATTAAAAGGTCTGATTATGGAGGTGAGGGCAAGAGGAGACCTCGTGTAATACTTGCTTGTGAGAGGAACGGTAACTATAAGTCTTGCAAGTCTAGTGAGACAACTGATATAAGGTCGGATGCAAATAGTGATATGAAAAAATGTGCTAGGGACACTGGTACCAAGAAATGTGGATGCCCATTCTTGTTAAAAGGTGTCAATATTGGTGATGGGGATGATTGGAAGTTGGAGGTGGTTTGTGGAGTACACAACCATCCTATTTCAGAGTATCTTCAAGGTCATTCATTTGTGGGGCGACTTACTGAAGAGAAGAATGCCTTGTTGGTGGACATGTCTAAGAGTTTGGTGAAACCCAGAGATATTTTGGTCACCATTAAAGATAGAGATGCAATGAATGTTTCAACTATGAAGACAATATACAATGCTAGGATCCGAAATAGAACCAAAGAATTTGCTGGGAGAACCCAAATGCAACAATTGCTTACTAAGTTATTCGAACACAATTATATTGAGTGGCATAGGACATCTGGTGATATTGTAACTGACCTGTTTTGGACACACCCCATTAATATTGATATTTTGAGCGCATTTCCACATGTACTTATCATGGATTGCACCTATAAGACTAATAGGTATCGTTTCCCACTATTGCAAATTGTGGGGGTGACATATACTAATATGACATTCTCTGTTGCGTATGTGTATATGAATGCCGAGAAGGAAGACAATTACACATGGGCATTGACTGCGTTGAGGAGTTTGTTGGATGATAATTGTCTTCCTGGTGTTATTGTCACCGATCGAGAGTTAGCACTCATGAATTCTATTACGTCTATATTTCCGAAAGCACAACATTTATTATGTAGATGGCATATTAACAAAGGAGTGTTGGCAAACTGCAAGAAGTTATTTGGGACCCTCAAACAATGGAAGCAATTTGATGAGGATTGGAATACTTTGGTTGGTTAAAAAACGGAGGAGGAATATTGGCGTTGTTTGCGACAGATTGAGTCTAAGTTCAGTGAATTTCAAAAAGCTCTTGAATACATACATGAAAATTGGTTAAATCCATTTAAGGATAGGTTTGTGGCCGCATGGATAGACACTTGTATGCATCTTGGATCGACGATCTCAAATAGGTAAGTATTTTAGTCAACTTTTGATATGTTAATTTGAAAATTTATTTTGCTTCAGGAAAATTTATTATTGTTATCAACAGAGCGGAAAGTGCACATGTAAAGTTGAAGCGACAGCTCCGCTCAAGCCAACTTAACTTTGAGAGATCATGGGTAACTATACACTCATTGTTAGAGCTAGAGCACACAGAGATTAAGGCATTTTTTGAAAAGAGTCGATGTTTTATTCAACATAGGTTCAGGCATCCGGAGTTGAGAGAGTTAGTAGGTTTTGTTTCTATAAAGGCTTTGAGTGTAATTGTGTGCGAGCTAGAAAGGTAAATTCAGTTTACTTATTACATGTACATATATGGTTTACAAAGTTAACATTGTAATTTTTTTGCAATCAGGTTAGAGACAGATAGGGTGGATGCTTTGTCATGTGGTTGTGCTATTCGTCGAACCCACCAATTACCATGTGCACATGAAATTGCGGAGTATAGAGAGCATGGTGTACCAATACCACTTGATGTCGTGCATTCACATTGGAGGAAATTAGATATCATCAATATAGGAAACAGTAGTCATGGCACAACTTCACCAGGAAGGTCACAACTACAAAGATTCAATATGTGGTATGAACAACAAGATGGTGAGAAGAAGAGACAAGCCCACATGACACTGGAGGAGCTAATGAACCCTGGTTCTATTGCGCTTACTGAACCAAAAGAGAAGTTGAAGACCAAAGGGAGACCACGAAAAGTCGACACTTCTACTCGTCATTTGCCATTTGCATTTGAGATTGCTAAGGCCTCCATTGCTCTACCTAAAAATAAACCAAAGCAAAGCCTCACTTCCTCACTCAAAATAAAACCGAAGAAAAGTACCATTGCAGTGCCAAAAAAAAGAAACATGGTTGCTTCTAGTTCCATGTTGTCTAATCCAAAAAAAATTAAGGTATGTACTACAAATGTTTTATTTTACAATGTGTTATTACCATATAACTAATATTTTGTTTTATTTTCAGCTCTATAAGCCTCGTGAAAACCAGTCAACGTTCGATACATATATGCATATAGAGAAATTCCCAAGAGGAGCAACCGCTGCACTAGACACAGGAATGCCTAAAATAGATGACACATCATCCAATGTGATGGTCATCTCACCAAAAGACATGTGAAAGATGTTCGTTTCGGGATGCCACCTCTCAACAAATGTAGATACCACAATCTTATCAGCATTCTGATAAGAACACCTAATAAGGTGCTCTAATCCAGATCTCTGAATGTACCCTTGGATTACCCCACCAATTCCACTCACGAAGGGTAGATGTTTTCGACATGCACCTAAGGGGCTCACGTTCCTAGTTAAACAAAACAAAAAAATAAAATTAAGGTTAGTTACCATGAACCAGACTTATATTCTACCTTCTATTGTCATAGTAAAACGACTTACCTGGTTATTCCAAATTGCAGCTGCTATGTGAGTTTTAAAACTCGTAAGTAAAGATGGATCAATGGGACCTACTCGAGATGGTTCAGTAGGCTCGGCATGTACCTCAACATTACTATTCTGAGTAGTAGCTACATCTTCAACCTCTGCGTCAACATTACTGTAATCAGTAGGAACTACATCTTCAACCTCTGTAGTATCCTCAATGTAATCTTGGGGAGCCGCTCTCTGTCTCCTCGCTGAGGCCGTGGGACGCTGTCTATTAGGTCGGTATGATGACGCTTCAGTAGTACCCCTGCGAATCCTCTTCATATCTAAAAATAAACAATATTAAGTACACACTCAGTAACGTATTCGGTACATAATCACTGAAAAACGGAAATAAATTCGGTGGACAATCACTAAAAAAAGAATACATATTCGGTGGAGTACCACTGAAAAACCGAAAGAAATTCGGTGGGAGTCCCCTGAAAAATAGAAACAGTTTTGGTGGACTACCACCGAAACAAGGTAACAATTTCGATGGTAACCCACCGAAAGTATAGGTTCAATTCGGTGGACTACCACTGAAGCAATGTAATCATTTCGGTGGCAATCCACCGAAACTAGAATCCATTTTCGTAAAACCAGGTTCGAACTACCCAGAACCTTGAAATCGAAATCAAAATCAATATCAGACTTTGGCTTTTCAAAAGTGAAATCAAATGTAGGCTTAATCAACACTTAGAAACGTAAACATATAAATCAAATTTGAAATCAAACCTTGAATAAGGATTTGTGAGAACTTGACCTTCAATGGCTTTCGGGTTTGCAGAGATGGAGATGGGTGTGATGGTTCTGTTTCAAAGATGGTTCGGGTTTGCTGGAGGCAATGGCAAAGGGCTTCTTCAATGGTGAGCAAAGATCTGCGATGGCAAAGGGATGAGTTCTTTGATGTTCTGCGATGGAGGTGATGGCAAAGGGCTTCTTCGATGGTTCTGCGATGGAGGTTGGTGTAAATGGGATGGGGTGTGCGATGGGGTGTGTCTGCAAGAGGAGAGAATTTTCGGTGGGGTGTGGCTGGATATTAGATGGGGTGGGGTTTGATTTCAGATGGGGTGTGGCTGAAAGGGAAAGGGGTTTTCGGTGGGTGGTTAGGGAATGAGGTTTATGAGGGCAATTTAGGGAAAAAAAAAAGGGGTTTAACGAGTAATTTGAAATTTTATTAAAATTTAGTGGGGTGTAAAAAATTATGGGGTGTAAAGAGTAATTTATGGGGTTCATATAGAATTTCCCTTTCTTTTTTGTCAAACCCTTTATTAGTGAGTTTTCGTTATTCTCTTCTCGCTAGGGTTCTCTTTTCTCAGAATCTCCAAAATATTGGTTCAGCGTCTGATCAAGGTCACACATCAATGGCTGACAAAACAGCCATTCGTTCCAAAAAAACAAAACATAGCAGAACAAGTTGGTCCGAACTTCCAATTGACCCTTTTGAATTGATCTTATCAAAACTGTCCCCAGGAAGCATACTGCGGCTCGAAGCAGTTTGTCGTCCATGGCTTAAGGCCATCAAATACATCTCACGCTCATCGCCGTCCTTCACTTGCTTACCAGAGCAGCCGCTGCTCCTTGCTTTTCAAGACGAGGGCAAAGATGGTGTTGGTTTTTACAGTCTTGAAGGCAAGTTTTACAACATGCCTAAACAGTTATGCGACGGAGATAGTATTTGCATTGGGTCCTCTCACGGCTGGCTGCTTTTCTTGAGCAACAAGAAACAACTGCTGCTCTTAAATCCCGTATCTGCAGGGATCCAGCTTCTGCTCCCACCACTTGATACTTTTCTGTATAGCATTGATCCAGTAATTGTTCTCCAGAAGTCTGGGAGACATCGGCGACAAAGGATGCTCAAGGTTGCTGTCTCTTTGCAACCAACCTGCGGCAACAAAAAAAGCATTGGGGTCTTGCTAATGTACAATTACCACGGTTCCATTGGTGGGTGTAACTGTCTTGCTTTCTGCACGCCTGCGGATAACAAGTGGACAAAGCTTGCCGGGCAGAAAGCGTATGTTGATGTTACGAGCGATCACAATGGCTTCTATGCCTTAAACGTAGATTACAGCGTTGAAGTCTGGGATTTCACCAATTCCTTGATTCCCATAAAAAAAGTTGGAAATTATCCCAGCTGGTGCGCCCTTGGAACTAAAACTAAATAATTGGTTCCCAAAGCCCTGCATAGCCAAAACTGGGGCAAGTGATCTGTTCTTGGTTCAGAGGATCAGTTCTTTGCCCATCCTCCCGGTTCCATTCATTGTTTATAAGCTCGAATATAATAATCGGGATGGTACATGTACATCTGGATGGACAAAGGTGGAATCCTTTGGCAACCAGGCATTGGTTTTGGGTTCGAATCAGTCCATATTCGTCACACCCCAGGAATTTGATCATGAGAACTCAATCTACTTCACCTATGCACCATCTTATGACACCTGTTTTTTATGCGTGTATAATTTGAGAAGGAAAAACATAAAAATAGTCAGTGATGATCTTGGATTAACAGGGCTTGAAAAACAAGTTTACTGGCTTGAACCTCGTTTTTTTAGCACTGTGGCTAGCTAGGCTAGTTAGGAACTTGGCGTGATTATTGTTAATCTTTATTGCTAGTTAACTTATAACAGTTCGGCTTTATTTTGTTAACTTTGTGCTCATGTTATAATATGCTTTCTTCGAGTAGTTTAGAAAACCTTGCGGTTTGGTTTGTTCTTTCTAAACTCCCTTGTTTCCATATGTATTTGTTTCTCAACATTTCTTCCTGTAAACTTTACTATTCCTAGTCTCCGTTTCCTTCTTGTCTTTGATCATAAATTGCATCTTCTGCATTTTGAAACCCAACTTTGTCATACTATCCAGAGCCACAGGCATCGTTTGTAATCACTCTTGTATAAGGGTTTAATTGGTGTATATTCCTTTCTTTTGATTGTTTAATACAAGCAACATTTACGAATGGGGATTTAAACACAAGACTTCGGTGCAACCGTGCAGAGGTGAAATGTGACGGCCGGAACCCATCCAATTAAACTTCATCAAGAAGGCTTCCCAATTGACCCAAACTGGTTGCCAAGCACTCTTAAGCCAACCTAGAAGGTTACTTATTACCTATCTAGCATGCTAAATGCAAAAACTCTGGCATATGAATAAAAATTCTAGACAAACCCAACGTGGCCATACCAAGTCAAAAGCCGCAGACTCGATTGTGGATTTTTGCCTCCTCAGCTATAGCAATTCAAAGTGCGACACAAGCTTTCAGGATTCCTATTATATCTTGAATCAATCATGTGTAGCTCCACAGTTTGCAGTCACACGAAAGTATAAACTGTTAGATTCTCTATGATACAACCCTTCCCCCTCACCCCATGGCGGCTATAAAAGAGGGCATCCTAACTCAAGAACCTATAGTGTACTCCAGAACATAACTCGAGCAACCTGTGGCGTATCCCAGACCGCCATAACTTGAGGACCTAAGGTGCACCACAGACCACCATAACTCGAGCACATAAGGTGTACTACAGACCACCAAACAACTAAGAGTACCCCACTAACCAACCATTTTAAACTTTCATATAGACACCTCTGCAATAGAGAAAACAATAAGCAAGACTAATAATGGTTTGAGGTTTCAACCTCAATTCATAAGCACCTAGAGCTCGATGCACATGGAGCACCGAGAAATCGAAATAGCACCTAAGAAATAAGGAATGACAATAAGTGATTAGACTAAATGGCATAACCACCATGAATGCACAGACACTGAGTCATGACATCATATAACACAGACAAACCTGGATCAAATGCAAAATATGCAAGAGACTGAACAGCATAGACCAAATGCATACGGCATATAGATATGCCAATGTTGCAAAGCAGAACCATAATTCCACGTGGTTACTGCATACAAAGCCAGAATTAGCATGGAAACAAAAGTTCTCAAATGTTGTTCATCACTGAATCATTACCATTGACTCAACAAAACCTTCACATACCCACTTCTCTTTTGCCTTTCCTCACTCTTCTAGACAACCCAAAACAGCTAATACTACACACCATTTGCAAAAGCCCCAAAAAAATAATCCCATTAACACACATAAGCAACCAATTACTTTCTGATTTGGAACAGAAACCACGCAGAGCTTAAAAACGCCAACCAAACAGAACGAAAACCATCCATCATTCACACAGCAATCACATATAGCATAAACACAAACTAAAATCCATATCTATATATAACCAATTTTTCAAAATAACCATCCATCCATTGATACTGCATATACTATTTTGGCCAATTAAAGACGAAACTTCATCCTAGCCGAAACCCTAGAAAACAGAGCAAATCGAAGCAAATCATTACATGGGTTCAATGGAGAAGAAGCTGCGGTTGGTTCAGTTGATGTCGGTGTCGTCGAAATCGTCCTCGAAGGAGTTGAAGAAGTCAGCGTCGGCCAGCTTGTTCTCGCCGATGACACCGTCGGCGAAGCTCTCGAGTGTGTCAACATCGTCAACGTCCATGGCCATGGTGGAGCCCTGGTCGTCCATGTCGCCGAAGAAGTCCATCGGAGTCGGCCTCATGGCTCCAAACCTTCTCTCTCTCGCGGAAGCTATGGCTATGGAGCGCCTCACGTTTTGGTTCTCGGCAGGGGAGCTCGCTTTTTGTCTTGCTACTGGCGACGACATGTCGTTTCCTTCTTATGTTTTTGTACAATTTATCACCGACTCTTTAATTGTAATTTTCTAGTTTTCTTTTCCTTCTAGCATCGGTTCAACTTCTAAATAGATTTACTTTGATTTAGTTGCCCTGCGTGCCCACATGGTTTCTGGTTGTAAGGTTTCGTTTTTTTATAAATAAATAAAAACTTTAAAATGGATTGGAAAAAAAAAACTTTAAAATCGATGATTGAACAAAAAATCAGTCAAGAATAATTATACCTGTAAATTTGTATGAAAATATCCTTGAGCCTCCCCCTCTCTTGATTCTCAAACTCTTCTTCAATGCCACTCCTCTATCAAGTTGTTGTTTTCTTATGTAAAAATAGTCACCTGCTCGTTATTTATACCAATTTAGGTCTTATTTAAAATAAATAAAAATATCAAGTTAGGTTTTGCAATTATGTAGATTTTTTTTATGGCTAATGTCACTTCGAGTAGAATTTGACAAGAAGTTAACGTGCATGATCGTGATATGAGTAATGTTTTGATGTAACTGAATTCGATGTGGTATGGTGTTACTAATTTCCTCAAATCATTCCAATACATATTATAATTTGAGTAAATACCACCTCAACATGTCGTTTAGTGTTACTATCATGTACAATAACTTGATTACTTTAACATGAATTGAGACAGAAGCCAAAAAGAAATAAGAAACCTTAAGAATCCATGGTGAATGACAAATCCTGTCAGTAATATGTTAAACATTCTTTTTATTTAATATAATGTATGAGTGTGTTGTAATAGAAAACTATTAAGTAATTAAAAGTATCATACCTGCAAATTTTGTATGAAATTATGCGTCCTCGAGCCTCCCTCCCTTTCTTCTCAAACTCTTTCTTCCTTGTCTCTCTTCTCTGTCTCCTGTTCATCCTCCTCTTTGAGTCGAATGAACCTAAAAGATGGGAACAATATAATTGGTGAAAGAAAGCTACAATTGGTCAACACCACGAGAGTCAAACGGCCACAGATGGAATGGAATTGGTAAGCGTAAAATTATAACTTACAACTAAAAAATGTGCCTAATTTATCCTCAAATCACAACAAAAAAAAAAAAAAAAAAAAAAAAAAAAAAAAAAAAAAAAAAAAAAAATCACAAATAATCTTTACTTGTTTAGTATGAAAGTTTTTTTTTAATGGAGGGGAAAGAGAGAAACCTTATACTTTCCATGATCGCTTGGGAGTGCACAAAAACTTAGGCCAATCTAACTAACACACCATTTGTAAAGCTAAAAACCAAATTGAGTTTACCTAAGTTAGTTCTAATGACGTGAGAATGTGGAGTAATGAGTTAGGAATATGATAAATAAAAAACAAAAACAAAATAATAATAAAAACCAAGTTAATAAACTCTAATTGGAATGCAAGGATTATCTAGATCATGCCCTATAAAACCTTTTTTTTTGTTGGTATTTTTCAATTTGGGAATTCAGTTCGTGTTAGAACTAAAAGCATCTCTAAGAGAGATGTCAAATGCAAAATGTTAAATTTGAATTTGATGGCTTATTTGGCAATTTGATGCTTTGAAAAAAATTTAACTCCACCCTTTACCAAATATCATATTATTTTATTATATTTTAAAAATAAATGGGACTCATATGATGTATAAAGTTTTAAAAGAGAGTAAATGATAGTGGGGTCTATGACTAAAAAATATTTTGATATGTTATTTTTGACATACCTCTTCCAGCCTTCAAATTCATGTAGAATTTAACTGCTCGGTTGGAGCAATTTTAATCTTTAATTTTTGTTATTTCATGTCCTTATGGCAATTTGACATATCGATTGGAGATATTCTAAGACATGTCCTTTTCTACTCGGCTAGAAACCGCTAGTGTAATGTTTTTATTTTCTTTAAAGAAAATAAAATAAATCGCGGCTTTGCGAAAAAGTTCGGAATTTATTTTTGTGACCGAGAAAGAATTAAAGATTTTTTTTGGGTAATAAAGTTGTAGATGTTTTAATTGGACAAAAGATAACAAGAACGTGGCAAATGGAAGCTCACACCGCCAATGGAGAGCAGTGTCCTCCTTCTCACACAGCCTCATCCATGGCGACCCAAATATTCCTTTCACTCTCTCTTTCAAAACCCAGTTCCTTCGTCTCAACCAAGTCGCTCCTACACTCCTAAGTACCGTCGTTGGGATTCCAATGCCGAAACCATTCGGTCCCAAAGATTCGGTTTTAATTTAAGAGACAAAGGCAACAAAGAAGAAGAAGATGATGCTGATGGCGACGAAGAAGAAGAAGAAGACTACAATTACAATGGAAGTCAAGAGAAGAAGAAAAGGCGGTGGTGGTCAGATGATTACTCGGAGACGGAGGAAGGCTCTGGTGGAATCTTGGATGAAGCCATTGATAGTGTCTGGATTCTCAAGGTTCTAACTTTCACTTCATTTTTGGTTATTTGTATAAATTGGGATTTGGGATGTTGCAATTTTTGGTTTGAAAAAAAAAAAAACCCAGATGTTTTAAGTATTAAAATGCATCAATACTTTAGCTGGGTTTTGTTGTGAGAGGAAGCTCTTTCTTTTTTTCTCCCTATTGTCATGATACTTGCATTTCCCATATGTGTGAATGCCCCCATATCAGGTTCATACTCAAATGATAGAAATCACTAGGAAAAATAGATATTGTGTTCTGTTCTTTGCTATCTTTGGCTGCTTTGGGCATCTTTCCATGTGTTGTATCCAGAGTTAGAAGTTAAACAAAATCCTTCTTAAACAAAAATTTGTAAGATGAAATATATTTTCTTTTTGGTGGGTGCAGGTGTTCAGATCCTATGGTTGGGCATTTCCAGCTATTATCGTATCTTTGCTGCTGTCTACGGGTGCAAAAGCTTTCCTCATGGCTTTAGCATTCCCCCTTTGTCAGTCAGCATTTTCACTGGCATTTGAGAAGTTGTGGGGAGGAACACAAAGTAGGCCAAAACGCAAGTCCAAGACCAGGAGGAGAAGGAAACCATTTGCCAGCACTGTAGATAACGTTAAAATGGATGAAGAACAAGAAACTAGCAACAAAAAGATGGATTATCAATCTTGGGTAGTAGGCAATGATGTCTCAGTTGATAACAGTGGCCAAGATGCATCAGGTCTTGGTGGGTGGGATGATCTTGAAAGAATTGAATCTGCACGGAGGCAATCTCGAAGAAAGCCGATGGGGAAGGGTAAGTTGAGTAAGAGAGAAAGGAAAAGTGACACACCTCTGCTGTTCAGGTTGTTGATTGCTGTTTTTCCATTTTTGGGTTCATGGACAAAGATGTTTTGGTGAATAGAGAATACAAACCAGCAGTCAACCTGGAGAATGACTTTCACTGGTTGGCCTGGAAGTGTAGAGATCAAGCACTACAAGGCTTTTTGCTCCTCCTCTTACATGACATTCGGATCCCGTTTACATCAGTTGAAGCTAAGATCAAGGAATCAAGTTTCAGACAGAGCCAATTTGTGTACATGATGGTTTTCGATGGCATAATTAAGCCATTTTCTTCGTACGTCTAGCTTGGATGCTGAAGCTCTATCAGTATCCATATGCCATCGTATATACTCGAGAGTACAAGTTCATGGTACATTTTGTTCCATACAGTGTAGAATTTGGTATTTATCTCATAAGGAATTTTCTCTTCTTATGGTACAGTTTAGATAACTGCAGAAATTTGTGGTTTACAGTTCCAAGACGAGGTAAATCAAAATATTCTACCTGGAAATGACTTTCATTGGATAATTAAATAAATAAACCAAATAAGCATTTGTTCTCTGTGGGTTGCAAGACAGTGGCACAACTAATCCACATTGACATGGTAAATTTCTTTAATTGATTTTAATCAAAGACAATACATAAACAAATAAAACCTTGACAGAATGTCAAACTACACATGAAAACAAAAAATTGTCAACTTCCTGTACTGTAAACAATGCTAATGCACAAAAAGAAAAAGGAAGGTCTTGTCTTCAAAGGGGATACTGTCATCTTGCAAACAGCTCGACCTTGTTGCAAGCAGATGCAGGATCTTGGAGGCAGTTACAAAATGCCTCCTCATCTTTGGGGAATGAGGTTGGCAAGGGATGGTCTGGAACCACACCAACCTATAAGAAGCAATGTGGGCAAAGTTAATTGAGAGAGCGAGAGCGAGAGCGAGAGAGAGAGAGAGAACAGAGTTAATTGATAGAGAGATAGAGAAGATAGCATCAGACCTTATCAATATCTGTGTGAGCAGGTGTCTCATAACGAGCAACTGTAACAACCAACCCGGAGCCATCAGACAGCTCAAAAACTGACTGAATCTTCCTGCATAGTGGGATGGATGGCTCAAGTCAGGAATGCATGATTATATTTATAGGAACTGTGTAGAGTAAAAAAAAATTTACCCTTTCCCAAATGTGGGCTCTCCAAACAACACCGCACGTTTATTGTCTTTCAATGCCCCAGCTAATATTTCACTTGCACTAGCTGTGCCCTTATTCACCTGATGAAATCTCAGAAGAAACATACACCAATTTTTCACCACACAATTCTTTAAAGATAATGTTTCATGGGAAAGCACATGAAAACACCACTCAATATTAAAATCAGAAAGGGAAATAACAATGAATCCTAGAATTTAAATTACCCACTTTTCAAGAATGTCACATTCTAAAGCAATAAAACATAGATGCTAGCAAGGCTCCCTGTTAATAAGATAAAATATCAAAAATGAAAAAGTGGGTCCACTATTAAACAGTATAGAGAGACAGGCCGGAGCTTGATGACAGATGGTCAAAATGATGACAACTCTGCACCATTAATAATAGCATTTGCAAATGTTTGCCTATGAATCACGGAATATAATTGAACAAATCTAGTTCATTGTATAATGTATAGAAGTATACCAGCACAGCCAAGGGTTCTGACGGTGCTACTGCTTTGCTTCCATCAGTGTCGTATATATCTCGAACACCACGACTATCACATATATATACAATCACACCTTTGTCCAACCTGGAAGGCAGCATCTAATTGTGAAAACTTAGAATATACTGGACCTGACATAATGCAGTGTAAGCTTAATTTTGAAAGACTAACAATGTCTTTTTAAAAAATAAAAAATAAAAAACCGAAACTTGATTATAGAAGTTTGTGCTGCAGAAATTTGGATCAAACATAATGGATTAGAATATTAATAATCAAAAGACCTCAAGCAATGATGTAGTAATCTGGTTGCTTTAATGGGTTTTCTTCTTAAACATCGTTTGGGTTGAATAATGAGGAAAGAAGCAAGTTTTCTCTTTTTTAACCCTTTATGCAACCTAAGAATCCTAGGCATGTTTCTTACAACTTTTAACTTGAAATTCATTTCGTCAGTATCTCTTATTATGCATGGATACGATTTATCCACCACATGTTCCAGAAAAAGGGGAAAAAAAACCATACCAACAAACAGCATTTACTGATCTTGTGTTGTTTTACCTGCAAATGACACTATTACAGCATAACACTGAAACATCACAGTTTCAAAACTTTGAGCTTAACTTAATCATAAACATCGTTTGGTTGAATAATGAGAAAGAAGCATGTCTTCTCTTTTTTAACCCTTGATGAAATCTAAAAATCGTTGGCATGTTTCTTACAGCTTTTAACTTGAAATTCATTTTGTCAGTATCTCTTATTATACATGGATACAATTTATGCCCAGTGTTCCATAAAAAGAAAAAACCCATACCAACAAACAGCATTAACTGATCTTGTGTTGTTTTTAACTGCAAAAGACACTATTATAGCATAACCCTGAAACATCACACTTTCAAAACTTAGATGCTTAATCATAACAAGGACGTATGGATGTGACAACTCAAGTAAAAAGGAAAACCTTTAGAAAAGAAATAAACTGTCTCCCAAAACGTGACTTTCCACATTTCTTGAAATGTGTGAATCCTACATGTCCACATCTCACACGCCCAGCAGATCACATAAATCCCTTTTGGGCTCTAATGCATTAAAATGGCTTTCAACGAAATGAATTGTAGAGAATTGGTTTCTTGTATTTGTGCATATGAAATATGAGTTCAAAACTTTCATGTGCATACAAAATGAATGCTGACATATACAACTTTGAAAGGCACCACGAAAGTGTAAGACTTAAAGGCATGCAGTATAAGTTTGCCACAATTCTCTAGTGTTACTTACCAAATCTTGGCAATTTCAATTCCTTCTGGAAAAAGACCACCACTGCACCAAATTTAAGAAAACTTAAGCTTTCAGAAAGCCTGCCAAAGGGCAAAGTTTACAAGACCAAGGTTGAAAGATAATCACCTATTGTCTCGAAGATCCAACACAAAGGCATTAACATTATTACTCCTTAGAGTATTAATTGCTTCCTTGACAGCACCTACACAGCATGCAAGTTGTTAGACCAAATTGCAGAAATTGACACTCAAAGTATGAGCTCCTTTGGTAATGCTTTTAATCTGTGTTATTTTAATTAAAAAGAGGAGAGAGGCAAGGGAGAGAGCTGAGAGAACAGATATAATGGTTTAAATAATAATGAGAACACATTCTCTCTCTCTCTCTCTCTCTCTCTCTCTCTCTCTCTATAATATATATATATATATATATATTTAAAGATGAAAATAGAAAACAAAAACAATGCAAAAGAGCTCAAACCATTCAATTACTAAATGAGATTGTGAAGAATAAGTCAATAAAATTCTAAACAAAATGAACTATGTTCCCTTCAAAACTATGCACAGGAGAGCTAAATTCATCTGTCAGTGGTAGGGGAATTGAGAACATAATTGATCAAAACAACACAGTAAAATTCTGAGTTCTGCCAGATGAGACACAACTTATATAATTTCTGTAAATAAACTAGAAAAATAGACCTTGCTTTTATGAATAGAAATACATTTCCTAACTTATTTATAAATAAAAAAAATATTTGATTTAGGTACCACTCCTCGAAAAACCTAACCGATAACAGCTACTAGTTCGGCTTACCAGATGCATTTTGATTGAACGATGTTAGTTTGATATAGCCAATCCTAAGGGAATCCTTTCCTGAAGCAGGCACTGCACATAGTCTTGACGTTACTGGATTCAGTGAAACTTTCTCCCGCCTAAAGGCAGCAAAAAGTATTTTAAAGTATTTTAAATAATGAACAAGAAAGGACAGAAGATTCAGACAAAAGATAATTTTAAAAATGAAAATTCACCCCGCTCCTTAGTGCTAACCCCTAGAAGTTGCTCAAGTGTCAAAGCGAATACGATGACTTTGGTTAAACACTGAGCTCAATTTCCAGCCATAATGACAACCAGCCCAAAAGCATTTTTAAAATGTCACCATGAACTTAATATCAATATTGAAGCCTTTTCAGCTTAATTTAATCAAAGCAATAAATCTTCAAACACTTTTGGGCATGCAAAATTGTATTTCCTTGAGAAGAAGAGAAAAAATAATTCCCTGTATAATGAGATAACAGGCTTTCTGAAGGGATTAATGAAGAACTGAACCTACATCAAATCCAGGTGCTTTATTTCAGGTCCACTACGAAGGGTCAATTTCACTGAACTTCCTTCAGATCCCCTATACAAGTAGGAAAAATGTGTTATAAATAAATAAATGAATTTAATGGGAAAGAGAAGTCCTGATTCTGAAACAACTTACTTCAATTACAAGGAATCGGACAATGACACTCAAAAATTCAAACACCTCAAGATAGTGAGCTTCTCCAGAAAGTTAACTGATATGGCTTTCAACTACAGATTTGGTGACTAATCCACAAATAAATATCCTAGTACTTGATGGGTAGTTAGGTGAATTACAAATGAAATACATACTATTGTAAGCCATATTATAATTGCATTTCCTTATTAGAACCTAACTATTTGGGGCGAAATCTAATTCAACAGGTTAAGTGGGTAAGAAACTTACTGTAACCGCTCTGCTGCATCATATATACCCATTGTTTCTGTACTTGTATCATCAATTGCAAGAATAACATCCCCAGACAAGATGCCAGCCTTGTTTGCTGGACCTCCTGGAGAAGCTGAAATAACAACAAGACCAGCAGGTAATCCATCAAATTTTGTAGGGTAGCCAATTGACAGCCCTACGCCTGTAAGAGCACCTTGAGTCCCAGACTGCCTTCAAAGAAGATATAAACAGATTTTAGGGACAGTATCTATATTGAAATTTCACTGAAGAAATGCTATCTTAAACTAACAGGTAGAGATTGTATTTAATGTGGTATCTAATAGTGTCACATTATTACTCAGGCCAAAATGCAATACACTAAGACCATAAGAAGATAAATCCTTGTACCCGTAGACTCTTTAACTTTTCAGGTTCCAGAAACCGAGTGAAAGGATCCTCCAATGTGGCAAGCATCTTCTTTATCGCCATATCTGATTGCAAATACGCCATTAGAATTTAGTGGGGGAAACTGGAAAGACAAATATAGTACTTTCAACTAAATGAAGTA